GAAGCAAATGACAGCGGATAGATTTGTAACCAACCTCTTCGCCCTTTTTTGCTTCGATGTAAGACACAAGCCACGGTTTCTTGTGTTGGCGGATCCATTGCATGAGGTGGAACACACGAACAAACGTGTTGTTGGAACGACGTTCTCGCATATATTTCAGGAGTTCGGTAGCGGTGGGCTTTCGGCCATCGCCACCCATGGTGGCCTTGCATCCGTGGCGCGTGCTGGACATGATTTGACGCTCCTTTCGTCGACAACCTTGCCAGGTCCCGTATGCGATGTCGTTGTCCTGGCAGAATTGATGTACATTGATATAGCCAGATGCGTGGAACTGCACGAGGAGAGCCATGCGATCACGGTTAGTGAAACGGCGCTGCTGGGTCTTGGCTTTGGTCATTTTGCGATTTGAAAACCATGTTCAAAACCATGGATTTGAAATTTACTAGTTTATGATTGGTTAGTTTCGAAACGTAACCAGAAAGCATTGACACCAAAAGTCTGTTGATTTTATCGAACCAAAATGGTTCATTCTACTTGCTGTGAGGTGCCTGTTATTAAATGTTGCATGTCCCACTCTAACTTCGTTTTCCGCCCAGCACTGTACTCAAGCAAAGCACTGTATTTTTACAGCGTATTCGGTCGAAATACTGTAGCCAGGTGGAATTTGCGTACTGTAACGTGACGGACCATTGATGTGCCGATTTTTGTGAATTTTCGCTTGTGAATTGCTCAGCCGTCGTTTCACCTAGGACAACGAGGATTACATGTCCTGTAAGCTCATTTCAAGCTCTTTCTCAGGCACCCAGAATATATCGGTTTAAGCAATGTATCGGCGCAATACAAAATTCGAGAGAAAGGCAGATTACATAGTCGGACCACTGATGTGCCGATGATTGTACTTGAAGTATCGAGATTTGAGGTGTCGGATATTGCTGTTGGATTGAAAATTATAAAAAGGTTTATGAAATATCGGCAGGAATTAAGTACTGAATTTTTTGTGACTGAAGATAACCTAAACGTGGATGTTTGGTGTGTTCAATGCGTAAGCACGTCTGATCATTTGATTGGACTTTGATAGCATTCAATGCGTTCGACAATAAGCACCTCTGATCATTTGATTGCATATTCAACGTGTTCGACAATGCATTCAATTGATTTCACATTCACTGCCAATTCAATGCGTTCGACAATAAGCACGTCGGATCAGTTGATAGCATATTCAACGTGTTCGACAATGCATTAAATTGATTGCACATTCACTGCCAATGCATTCAATGCGTGCGACGATACATTCATGCAGCAAATTAATTTGTCATTCTGCAATTTTCATCCTGGCTCCTAATGCGGGTACCTGCGGCGTAATGTTCGTCACCGTCAAGTGCGCCCGCGTTCGCTTACAGTTAGTACCCACACACTGTAAGACTTCTCTACAACGGAAGCTGGTCAGTTGGGGCAGGACAAGGGTTAGCCAGCGAAGATCAGACTTCGAGGTGGGCACGATGCCTAGGAACTATTCAGAATCATAAACCACTGCCAACAAATAAAATCAATTCAAACTAACATTTCCATAAAATCACAAAAACCAAAATATTATGGTTCTTAAACAACACATTGACGATTTTTGCCGTCTTATTCTTCCGCTTGGGCATTGCAACTGCGTGGGCTTGGAGTGTCGCATTGTAATTCCGCGTGAGAAACACCCCACCAGGGGTCAAGGTCTTTCTGGTCCCTTTTTTTGCTTCGTTCGTGGGGAAAGGCGGAGATCTCGATCACGGATCTCCAAAAGCCGTTTCATCCAAACCGGTTTCGTTCCGGCGTCATCCACCAAAGATAGTCTTTAAAGGGACAAACGATACATCATTTTGTGCAATGATGGCGGACACAGGCCGGTTCGAACAAACCCATTGACGATAGCTGATTGGCTTGAGTTGTTCCACGAGATTTCGATGGCACGCTGCTTAGTGATGCTAGTAGCCTCTTGAGTCCACATTGTGTCCGTAATCGCATTTCGAACAGCTTGCTTGAACGGACGGAAGACAGAGACATTCAACGGTTGAAACAGATGGGTCGCATTCGCTGGTAAGAATTGCAGCAAAATGTTTTTAAGGCCGTCGCTTCCGGGTAGATGTACTCAGAGTAGTGCGACGAGCAACCGTCCATGATCAGCAAAATCGGACGCATTGTTGATGCAGGGATATTGGCATCCAGCATGGACATCCACTTGCCACAGATAAAGGAGCTCGTCCATCCTTTCTCAGACGTCGTGAGAGCAGCGCCAGGGATGGTCAACTTGTCGCAGGTATCCGTGGATACTTTTTCGCCGGGCAAAATGAACAGAGGCAGGACTTTGTTCCATCGGCGGCAACACATGCAACAATGGTGACATGGGACGGGGCCGAAGATTCTTCGGCATAAACAGCCTTCGTATTTCTGTGTACGACAACTTTTTTGCTGGTCTTCGTGGGTGAGAAGTTTGTCTCGTCCATGTTGAAGATTCGCGAAGGGTCCACGTTGACGAGCGACAGGTCGTGGGCAAGCTCGTGGAAAAAATCGACGACGACGTTACTGGCCACTGCATTGCGAGGCTTACTCAGCACACGAGCCTTGGACACCTTAAGGTGCGAGTGGCGGTCAAGGAATCTCTTGTACCAGCCGAACGACAACGTTGTCGCACGTGGTACGTCGTTGATGGTCACCGACATTTGAGTAGCCTTTTCGATGGTATGGTCTCGTCCAATAGGCTTAGATCACAGCGGCACGTCAAGTTGCGCTTCACACAAGATAAATAAACTTACGCACCGCTCGTATAGAGAAGTTGCATGAGGTACCCACAAATGAATATATCAAACTTGGTGATTGAGCAAGAAATGATGAAATCCGATGGCATTGTACATTGCAATAGTGTTAAAATCATAATATATACGGTATGAAATGCATACGACAACTTCGAACATATCGTTACGTCGTTCACAGTTCTTGGCAGTGCAAACTAGCTTTGGAATATGCAAAATCCGACTTGATACAAGTCGATGTACTACAGTGAGTACTAATCGAAAATATCCATGCTTTCGCAACGTCACCACCAATATCAATACTACCCAATTGCCACGCAATCCTATCGAGCGACTCTTCGTAAATGTCATCCAGGTCGGCCACATCTTGCGACGACGTTTCAGTGCGCAGCAACCTTGTTCGACGGAAATCTGCTACGATTGTCGACGGCAGAACATCCGTCCACACTTAGCTGATTCACACAACGATGGTTGACCGTTCAGGTGGGACCATGCGGAAGGGCTCAGCATTCTCGCGCATCCGTATTTGCTCCATAAGAGCGTCAAGCCAGTAGCGTCGCAACTGTATCTTGAATGGGTCGTTCCACGCGACATCCGCAGGTTGACACGAACAAGTGAAACGGGGCGGCACTTTCTCCAAAATCACGTTGATTTCATTGGCGCAATCTTGAGCCTTATCCGGAAATTTAGAATAAATCATTTTCATTGGATGAAATCATACCTTTTCCGTAAAATGCGCGGAAAAGTCATCCCAGATCAACAAGATCTTCTCGTCCATGTTGGGCCTGGAGCCGAAGTGGAAGCGCAGGAACGCCACAGATATATCTTCGTTCCACCAAGCGGTAGGGTTGCCGTAGATCTTGCTCGGCCATTGCTCCATACGAACACGCCAAATCCATTTCTGTCGTTGATGTTCGCGCGGAGGATCGTGGCGATGGTGGACTTTTTCTGCATCAACACGATGAATAGCAGGTACTTGTTTCCTTCCGAGTCGCCCAGCAACATTGCAGTTGACCGTTCCTTGTCCTTGCCCCCACAAGGAACCCACACAGTCTTCACACCACGTGCATTGATCGTTCGCTTCGGGAGTTATTCGTAGAACACACCGTTTTGGTCAGCATTGTAACACTTTGTGTAACAAAGTGTTACACCTAAACAAGTCATTAGTTATAGTATTGTATGAGTGTAGAAATACGTACGTCATGGATATGAGTACTAAATGCCTCCAGCGCTTCATCAGATCCTTCTTGTGTGTCTTGGCCTTGTCTGGTCTTCTGTCTGAAGCCCTGGCGCTTTCGAAACTAGTGCACCAATCGCGTGACGTCTTGAATTATTGGCTGAAATTCCTTGCTCTTCGGCTAATTCTTTGGCCTTCAATTGGAGTATGATTGTAGCCACTGGAATGCCTTCGTTGCGCATGTCTTGTACCCATTGGACAATAATGGCCTCGGTGTCATGGTTCAAAGAGGTTCCAACGCCGACGTTGCGCAATTTCTTCAAGTTCGACCGCGAGGAGTACCCAACTTCTTCAACTTGTGTACGGAGTTTTAACCAATCACATGTTGCGGTGGTCGTTCCCCACAAGCTTAGGGTAGTATCGAGTGAGTGTACTAGGCATTCCATGCAAAGCATAGAAGTTTATAACCTCTAGCTTTTCCTGGTAGTCATGGCTGCTGCGGAGGTACGGTCGCTTCTGTAGCGGTCGGCCGTAGAATATCTTGGGGCGACCAGGCGAACAAACACCTAACCTATTTTCTATGTGTACTGCAGGGGTTGAATTCTGCTCGGGACCTTGGTCCGCGTTCGACAAGGTGGCAATCAGCGCATCTTCGCCTTCCGCCTCCATGGGACCTTGATCCATGTCCGACGAGGCGTCAACCAGCGCATCTCCGTCATCCTCCTCCATTGTGTTTTGATATGTGGGAAATTGATTGGCTAGCAAAATTACTGGACTAAAATGGACATTTTTCAACCAATGGAATTGGACATGAAACCTTCAAAGCAAATACGACGCAGTATGAATACATTCTGGCAGGTGCAGTGTTGATGGTGAGTGAAAACTCCTATTTGTGATAATTGGGTGGCGTTACCAAAGTATTATTTTATGCAGAGAATCCCACTTGCAACTTACAATATCGGGCAACCTTTAATTTACGCACTACGTACCTGCGAAAAATCCTTTTCAGGTAGAAATGTTTTCCACATATCATGGGATATTGTGTCGTACTTCGTATAACGTGAATCTGTATCCATGGTATCCTTGGTCGGATAATCATGTGATAGCCTTGCAAGCCCAGGGACATACCTTCGCTGCATCCCCTGGAACCACCCCTGCTGCGAAGGTGCGACGTGCTCGCCTGGCCCAACTAGCCCGAGCTGCAAAAAAGGCGGACACAGGCGCCACTCTAGTTTCCTTCCAAGCCCAAGATGCCGCTTCACGCGCCAAAATTAGTGCCGACACGTCCTCTGCCGCCGTCGTTGCCACCAATGCTTCTGCTCCTGCGACTTCCGTTTCATCTACCCCCTCCGACCCACGTTCCCAGCCCACTGGCTACACTATCGTCTCGTTCATCAAGCGCCGTCGGGCACATAACGACCCGGAATACACATACATCGCCAAAGTACGCACCGAACAAGGAAGCATGGCCACGCACCTCTTCCGCGAATCCGACCTACCCAACCGTGCGGTCTCCATTTTCGAGGCATATGACGCCTACTGCAACACCTCACCTCCCCCTCTCCCGACAACGTACTCCGCGTGGCCCAAGAGCTAAACACCCACACAGACGCCTTACTGCATCAGCCAGCCCTACGAAACAATGCCTTCCTGAAGCCATGCGCATCGCCGCCGTGAAGCTCGCGGCTTCACTCAACTTCAGCGAAGGGGACTTTGTCGATTTCAAGAAGCCCACAGCATTGAAGGGACGTGGGGTGTCCCGCTCAAGGCGATCCGCCCCTTCCTCTACCATCTTGACGGTTTTAGTCTCAAACTCGACCGCGCCGCCTTGAAGATCAACCATGTCGGTCACGCTTCGGGCACGGTCCCCCACGACATGAACGCCTCCCCCTCTGCGAATGGCCCCACCCTCACGGACGCTAGCGGGATCTATTCCATTGACGAAACTACTGGTTTCAACAAAGTGATCTACATCCTCTCCCTGGTACTCCAATCCCCGTCATTCTCCAAGGGCGCCACAAAAGCCCGCAAGAAGTCAGCCAACCAAGATACCATGACTGCCTCCAAGTAGATACTAGTTAATTGCTCTAGTAGGTTGCTGTCATTGGAACTCAACCCCATTACGTATAATGTACACTTCTCACCCAGGGACATGCCTTAAGGGGCATCAGGGTTACCGTATGGGGTGAAGTAGATCATATTTTAGGATGCGTATCAAACTACCGTAACTATCAGCATGCTGTTAGTCGGGAATTGAAATCAAATGGCAAAGGTCTATCTGGCACTGATGTCGTTTAATTAGGCAATAACGAATTGTTTAAGGCTACGACCAAGCCAGCGAACGGAAACTTAAATGTAATGGAAGCTGCCCCGATGGAGCCCAATGGTATGGTCTAACCAGGAGCGACTATAGAACGCACCAAAGTGTCGGCCAATGGAAAGGCCAAGAAGAAGTCGACAACGACGGCATCGACAAAGGGGAAGGTGAAGTTGAAGGCACCACCCCGGACCACCGCGACAGTGCAGCAATTACCGAACACTGCTGCAGATGGTGAACAATCTCCGCCTGATGCGGGGAGCGAAGCCCTGCGCGAGTTGCTGCAACGAATTAAGTTGGCGTATCCAAGCGATTCGGACGACGAAACCAAGGATGACCTGATGTTGCCAACCAGCTTTTCCAAACCTACATTTCTATTATGGAATTGCCTGCATCATTTTTTCACCACAGCGTAGGTGGGAAACCCTTGCTGTTTCCACGAAGCACATACTTCACATCAAGTGCCCCTGGACGTGTTATTCGTTATTTCGTGTCACACAACATTGCGGTGATAAAGACCCACCGTCCAAAGTATGTTGATGGTTGTGTTGTTCGTCACGTTGTTCAATACAAATATGTGCAGCGCCGACACCCTTGCTGTATTCAGTGAACAAATTATCGTGCATATCATATATCAACTTTATACCGAATTATTTTTCCTCATGTCATGCCACACAACACGGTGAAGTTCGAAACAATTGCATATTGACTGATGAACGCCTTCGAAGTGTATACGGAAGTACTGTTCACCTCATACAATGGTACATTTAGGTGACGTTGACATCTTCCTGGAAATTAAATTATACAGCCGAAGACACCTCTTGTTTTCGATATATTTGAGACAATCTCCATACATTCTTCAAGTCCGGTGAACATTTGAAAATTTTGGGTTGAGCGGCTGATTTTATTTGAAGAATACACACGCAATTTTTGGAAGAATGACAATATAATTTTGTGACCTTATAGCCAAGATTCTTCTCTTTTGATTGGTACAAATTTCACACAAATCCATTGATTGGTCATAAAACTGCTATGTGGCAAACCCAAAACGTGTCAGTGATTTGGGACGGAGTGGTACTGCACTTGATGAAGGGGCGCCTGCATAATTTGAGCCCCAGATTTAGGCATCTACGTTGCCATGGCTTCCATGTTATGAAAGCAGCCCTTTCATTGCATCGTTGCAAGTGGCGCCAATCACACAAGCAGGCTTTCGATGTTGTCCACGCCGAACGTAGGACACGATCCGTACTGGGATTCGGCCTGCGTACACGAATTTTTATTAGCAGCGATCGCTTACAGTTAATGCGAATACCGGTGACAATTTCTCGTTTGGGTTGGTTTTGGCTCATTATTGTGGATTCGACACGAATTTCCAGACCCCGTCGAATCGAATCTCGCCACCGAATCGAATCACGAATCGACGATATTGGCTGATCCAATATTGATTGGATTTGATTGGCTATTACCGAAAGGACAAGTATATTCAACCAATCAGAACTCCGGCGTGATTCAATATTGATTAGACAAACCAGGCGAATTTTGGAAGTTTATAGTGAATTCAGAATATTTGAACTGCAAAAACAAACCACCGCCACGTTGTGATTCGTCATAAACGATTTAAGCCAATCATATAATACTACACCATTAACTGTAAGTTCAGGTTATTTCTAGTATATTTCGTCCGACGCGGAACTGATTCACGCCATCTACGTTATGTTCGCCGAACTTTCGACATATTTCGTCCAGACGTTCAATATATTTCAAGTGATGTTCCATCTATTTCGTTTTTAGATGCAACTCAAGCAAAACAACGTGCTGCTTCATCAGGGAACTTCCATGTCACCCACATTTTGGGCAAGACCGTAGAACAACTTGAGCTACAAGGTGTAAGGTTGCAGAGGATTCACGTCGTCCCAGATCTAAGATTTAGACAAGTTCAATACGCTACAGTATCCACTACCTGCGATTTACTTGATTTGCATCTAAAAACGAAATAGATGGAACATCATTTGAAATATATTGAACAAATTGTAAAATATACCGGCTGTGGGGTGAAATATACCGGGCATTAGTCGAAATATACTGCAACGATGCAGGGTCTGGATGAATATATCGAATGTTCGGCGAACACAACGCACATGGCGTGAATCAGTTGCGAGTCGGACGAAACATACCGAAAATAAACTGAACTTAAAGGAAAAATGGTGCAGTATATCCCAATGACATTTGGGTGGCGCCAACGCAGCCGCATACGTACTATGCCAACCCAATTCAGTCTCGGGTTCTACCAGTATGCAAACATCTCGCTAATGTCAACAACATATCCAAGCGTACATCAGGCATGTAGGTTGAAGTCTATGAATAGTGATGAGGACAACGAGGTGGCACAACTGCTACTTGTTTGCGCTCGGGGCAATGGGGAGATGCGCGGCGTGTGATTACTCTCTACGGGTGGACGAAGTGGCGTAGCTGCCTTGAATGTATTGGGGGTGGTGATCGTGGTGATCGTCCGCGGTTGCTTCACACCCTCACGAAGGTTTATATATGAGCATTTTAATATCTATATTTTTTGCCATTATGGTATTAATACAGCGGTTTCATTTCATTCAGGTTCCATCCGAGCATTGGACATTGCAAGTAGAACTCACAACATAATGCAATTCAACGTACAGTACATAGATGCAGACCTCTTGGCATCATGACGGAATCGCAAAAGGTGCACACGTCACCATCGCTCGGTCGTTCGTAATGTATGTGTTGATGCGAATAGTTCACTGTAGGTAATAAGGACCCGTCTGGCAACTAGATATATTTCAATATTCTGGCCCAAAATGCCATTTTGGGGCCGAATTCAATATTAAATCTGAAACATCGTATCTTGTTTGAAGAATTTTACTGTAACCCTAATCCAATAATTCCAAGTGGGAGGATTTACTCCTTGAGGTGGTCCAAAACGCCATGTTACAAAATAGACCTTTAGGGCTGGTCTGGATGCCACCATTATTTTTCCGCCAGAAATCCTTCTGGCGCTTTTATTCACTTTTTCCAAAAACACCAAGCGACCTAGGAAAACTGCCACAATATATTTGAACCAATTTGTCTGGATACCTCATTATAATCCGGAAGTTTTCAATCAGAGCATTTTAAAAAACGCGCGAAGTCGGATTGGCGATGCGTCACGAGCTATGGCTGCTCTACTTGCGGCGCCGAGCTCACCGACGCAAGCGACTTCTCATGATGGCATACATCAGCTACCACTACGCTGCTTTCGTTAACAAGACACCAAAACGAACATCAATCCTGACAGGAGCGATGTGGGTCCAAGAGATGATGATCGGGAACCACGACGCCTTCGTCGACAGCTTTCGAATATCCCGTGAGACATTCCTCATGCTACACGACGAGCTTGTTAACAAAGCTGGGCTTCAGGCAACTGGAAGAATCAGCTCCGTTGAACAGCTTGCAGTGTTTATGTACTTTGCTGGGCAACAAGTAACAAGCGCCAACCTCCAGTAACGGTTCCAACACTCGGGCGAAACCGTCACACGTCACCTCCGGCGAGTGCTCCATGCTGTTAAGCAATTGGCCCCCACGTACATGGCCTTGCCACTTGCAAACTCCCCGACACCGGCATTTATCGAGAACAACCTCAAGTTTACGCCGTACTTTTCGAAATGCCGCATGGCGATTGACGGCACCCACATTCCGGTATGGGTCAAATCAGATCAAGGTGCTCCATTTCAAGGCCGCAAGGGAGTCACTATGAACGTTCTGGCAGCCTGCAATTTTGACCTGCAATTTACCTACGTGCTGGAGGGCTGGGAGGGGTCAGCCGGAGACGGCAAAGTGTATGCCGATGCACTGGAGAAAGGCTTGACAATGGACGACGACAAATACGACATTGCTGATGCGGGCTTTGGTTTGACCCTGCGTTGCCTCACACCATACGGTACTCGGTACCATTTGAAAGAGTACGGTTTGGGACGCTTGAAGCCCCAACGCAATGAAGAGATTTTCAACCTCCGACATGCCCTAGTTCGAAACTGCATTGAGCGAATATTCGGCATTGTGAAGAAGCGATTTCCAGTTATGTCGCATGGGGTTCGTTACGATTACGGGTTCCAGGTGGATCTAGTTATTGCATTGTGCACGCTTCACAACTATATTCGCATTAGTGGTGTGGATTGTGGGGTCTTTGAAGCTCAAGCCGCAGCACTGATTCGACAACAGCGTGACATGCCATTGAATCAAAATGAGAGACCACAATTTGCGAACGAACCTGATAGCGAAGAAACCAAAGTATGGAGAGACCAAATTGCGTCCCAAATGTGGTCGCAATACCAATGTACGTTAGCTATTATACGCGAGCAAAGACGTAACTAAGTTCAAGATCATGGTAGTACTATTAATAGTTGTTTCGCGTTGTGTTATATCAAAAGTACCGATAAGTTAAAAAAGACTGACTGTGAAATGAAATCAATTCAATTCCTAACTAAATTGTCACTAGGCAATAGTAGTTGTCGTCAGTTGATTCAGCTGACGGCGCAACCACGCAGAACGATTTTCACCTTCCATGCAAAGGAACATTGCGGCGCGCGTACCATTTTCCATAATGTCGAACGCTAACACCATGTCGTCAATCTCCAACTCGTCAGCAAAATCTTGCTGCAATGTTCTGATGGCTCGTTCAGTCGGCGACATTCCATTGCCCACGGACGATGGGCGTAATACTTGTATCAAAAGCTCCAGATCTTTGACAGCGGCGTCGTTAACAGCACGAAAATCATTTCACAACTTCGAAGCGAGCGGCGTTCGCTGCTGTTTCTTTTGGCGTTCCTCGGAGGAAGCGCTTTGACGTGCTCTTCCTGCGTCAACTTGGTTTGAGGCACTTCGTCAGTACTGCTGTCATCGCTGGCATCATTCTCCAATACTTCGCCGTGTTAGTGTTCGTATTCGTTGTGATACACTTGTGCTGGAGGGGGCGCAGCCGACGCAGTCGCGAATCGGCCCGTTGCCATTGTCCCCCGAAATAGGGTCACACAATGTGCGAACTGGGGAAACGGGCGATTTTGCCATGTTCGCCACGACATCGGTGTCATACGTCGAACGTCATCCCACGTTGTTGACAAGCATTTGACACGGCACCTTGATGACTCCATCCCATCCACTGGAATTGGCGAGCTTGACGACCACACCATACATCCCCTTGATCGTGTCGTACCTCGACTTTAACTGCACCATTTTGCGGTCGAGGTTATGAGCGTCGTTGAGTGTCTAGAGTACCGCAGTCCAAGCTTCCTTTTTGAAGCCGCTGTTGGACTTGTTACCCAAGACGACCGCTTGGTGAACGAGCTCTTCAAGCCACGTCTTGTCGAGCTCGTCGGTCCAGATGCCCATGGATGTTGTGTCACGGAAGTGTAGAAATGAGCGAAGAGGAACTGTTCTTTACAATTTGGCTTATCCAAGACAAGTCACAGGAATAAAATACGTCGATTTGGCGTATTCTTTTTCTGGCATAAATCAACCAAATGGCACTTAATCTCTGGAGAAAATTTTCTTGTAGCACCCAGACACACGTTTCAAGGGAATTCCAATTTCGATATTTTTCCTGGAAAAAGGCCATTTTCTGACAGAAAACGTGGCATCCAGACCAGCCCTTAACCTTCATGAAAATGGCAATTTTGGTTAATCCCATTTTGCCAAAAAATGGAATATTAATTTTGAAAAGACCAGACGGGTCCTAGATAATTTCAAAATATCTGTATATATTGAATTTTGAATAATGAAATTCGCAAGGTGAACCACCTTGCTCCTTTTTAATATCCAATCAGAGTCCATCACACCTTGTTTCTTACTACCTCCATCCGAGAATAAGTGATTGGTTTGGCAAAACTTGAATCCGAAAATAAGTGATTGATTCAGTTTTGATGCCTCTGATTTGACAAAAAAAAGTCAACAACCAATTATAAACCATGAAAAGCAACATATTTAGGAACTTACTATCCAATCCAAAGTCTCAGATAATTATGTCAATCGAGTCAGAGCTGTCTGTCCAGCTTGTGTCCACTCCTTCTTCGTCAGCATCGTATGACGCAAGGCAGAGATGCTCAAGGTTTGAGCTCAACCTAGCTAACTCCATATCTTGCGAGAGGCGACGTCTTGGCACAGGGTGTTCGATCCTGGGTTGTACGCAGCTCTCTTCCAAAGCCGTGCTACCGTTTGCCAGTTACAGGCAAACTGCGCCGCAACATTGCGAAAAGAGCCGTAGGGAAGCTTACCATCTCTCGCGACAAGAGTGAGGAGATGGTGGCAGACGTCTGTGCGCTGCTGCGGAGTGAGATTGGGTTTTGTAGCAACAGATTGTGGCATGACGTGAAATTGAACACTGGAAATGTTGACATGGCTTTTTTTTGCATTGGTATTTATCCTATTCAAGTATAGTTGTACCTTTTTCAATCCGATAGCATCTTGGAGTTTGTATGCTACAAGTCGTTGCGAATTAAATAGGCATTTGAGCTCTGATATAAGCGTATTCAGTCCTCGAAGATAGTGCTTGATTTCCCGAGCCAGCTGATACATTTTCCTCGAAAAAATTCACAAAACTCTTTGAAATATGACGAATTTCCCAAATCAATCACTTATTTTCGGATGGAGGTAGTACATAATTGGCTATAACACTGACAGAAGGGTTACAATTTTGAACTTTGAATTTTGTAGAGCTTTGTGTGATGCTGCCCCAGAGAATTGTGCACTGATGAGTGCACTCCGACTATGTCCAATGTGGTTCTCCCCTTACACCTAGCATTAGGTTGTGCGCTCGGGTGGGTCGCAATGTCGTGGTGGCACTGGTGGGCCAACACGGTGGCGTAAGAGGCCTTGGTAGCACCCATCGCAAAACGCAAAGTGCTAAAGGCGCCTCTTCAGCACTTGCGATGGGTGCCACCAAGACGTCTTGCGCCACCGTCCGCGCAACCACGTGATCACACCGGCAGGGAGGTGTACGGCACCGACACGGGCTGGATGGTGGAATGTGGGATGACCAATTTCATTGGGTTAGTAGGCAAGTGGTGAAATGAGACCTGTTAGAATTGACCGAGTCCTGAATACCACATCACATGACCTTGCTCTCATACACAGCCTACAATTATCTCAAGGGTCCTTGCATCAACCGCCATAACAGCAATATATCGCAACAGGGCGTGATGAATCTACGCAGCGATTTTCGTGATTTCACCGCATCTGATTGGACAAAATTGGACAATTTTGAATTCTCAAGGTGACTGACCTGCCTTGCGAATTCCAAAAAGAGACAGACACGCGAAAAATATAAATTATCAATACTAACTTGAAGATATATTTAATTGAAACTATACAATTTCAGAATTATTTATGGAATTCGCAAGGTGGTTCACCTTGCGCTCCATACAAAATTGCCTATTTCACCTTGCTTTTTCTGGTTAATGGAATATTATTTTTGAAAAGACCAGACGGGTCCTAGATAATTTCAAAATATCTGTATATATTGAATTTTGAACTCGGACATATATATTTTGACGCTGTACAAGGCAATGCAAGGGCATGGGAATGCCTTGACTACGGTTGAGGTATGCCGCGTGGTCTGGGCAAGGTCCGACGGGAATCCGTGGTGGCCAGCGTATGTATGCGACCCGTCAAAGCTCCGGGATGAGCTGTACGCGCTAGGTACGTGGAGCTTCATGGCGACGAATGGTGTTTAATCGTCGCTCGTAGGGTCCAGCCATCGGCGAATGCTACGAAAGGCCAAAGCTGAGCCAAACGAGTTCTTCCTTGTCTTCTACTTTGGAGCTCACCACTTGTACGTCGTATATCATATCGTGCTTCCACCATGTTAAGCTCCATGTAGTCGTCTCCACGCCCCCAACGACGGCACTCTGCAGCCGTGGATGTGTCCACGCTACTACGAGTTTCTTCACGGTCATTCCCAATTCAAGCGAGGTCCATTGAAAGATGCATTTCGGGAAGCTATCCGTGAAGCAAAGGTTCGAGCATTCCATTCGTCGTGTCCATGTGGTAACATGTTGGTAGGACTTCGTCGCCGCGAACGAGGAAACGAGACTGTTGCCGCGAATGGTTCCATCAGACATGGACTTGTCCCTTGAACCTCCGCCTTCATCATCGTCGCAAACGAAAATGCAACCGTGTCAAGATGCAATTGTCGTCATTGGTAACGGTCCCTTTGAAGATCCATCGTCACCTGACCTTGATTTAGACCTGGACAACGACACCACGACGTTGACATCCCCTGGCCATGTGCTTACAGCAGACGACCTGCCATTTCACTGCTTGGCGTGGAGCTACGTTGTTGGAAAGACATGGTGGCCAGTGTACGTGTGCGACCCCGACGTCATCGGGACGCATGCCAAAGCTGCCGACAAACGCTCCAAGCTTCGGAAATTGGGTACTACATACAGTACAAGCAAAATCATGTTTACTGTTTTTCACGTAGAGGCGACGTATGCGACTGAGATTCGAATCGCGCAAGCGAACGCAGGAACCCAGCGCCTGTTGTATTTCTTTGGCAGGCACATCATGTACAATCACGTCCATGAATCAATCTGCGTTGTATCATGTTGCATGCTCTTGGTGATTAGTCGACTGCACGACACCGCTGCGTCCGTGTCTAATACTGGAATCAAACCATGGGAATGCACCGAGCACGCCAAGTACTTGGCGGGGGATGTGGGGCTGGCTCGCAAAGACGAAGAGTATGCACGCGCGATGAAGGAAGTCAAGGTATGTATGTCCGTCCATCTGGCCATTTTGTAAAAGATAGAGTTGATTTTATATATATAGGACTATGTAATGGTAGCCCCGGAAACCAACCCAAACCCGCCGTACGTCCCCTCCAAGGCCTCGACGCCGTCGCCCGCGGACTCGCCACCACAGGAAGCCCCCCCCTCTCCCCCCCTTCCCCTTCCAAGCCAATTGACAACTGAATCCACACCGCCCACTCTACAATCCTCCGACTCACGTTGTTCCCATCCACCAAATACCAACACAAATCCTTCCGCGAACTCGTCACCTTCATCATCGGGGGTGTCGTCTGAACCTTCCAAGGTGGTGGATCACAAAGCGCCGGTTTCACTCAATGGGCTTGGAGCAGCCGTGGCCGTCGCTTCGATCCCACAAGGGGACAACGTGAGTCCAACCTGTGGGGAGGACGGAGGTTCGTCCGTCAAGACAGAGGCACAAGCAGACGCCGCCAGCCCTGTTCGGGAGGGGGTGGCGTGGGCGTTCCTAAACGATCAGCTCTGGTGGCCCGTGCTCGTGTGTGGGTTCAAGCTCGACGACAACACGCCAGGTACAGTAGGCAGTGCAGTTGTTTTATGCTATTCTCTTATGGTGATTAGGAATGCTGCCTTCGGAGCCTTCGCGCAACCAAGTCGTGGACGTATACTACTTTGGACGCAAGCACTTGTACGGGATATATATATATTGTCCATTTACCCCAAACTTGGACGTTTGTGTGCTGATTTACCAAATCCATCGATTCTTTGTACGGATTATTGTATGTAAAAAGGGTTCCTGTGGCGATTTGGTGCACACTAATTGAAGTCACACACTAATTTGACGTTGAGGATAATTGTTTCGTGCAATCGGATTGGCTAATTCCTTCTGTACATGTATTTGGTTGTGTCGATTCATTCTCCAATAATAATGTGTTATGGTAGTGGCAACATCGACTCGACCGTGCTCAAGCCATGGAACGGGCCAGAGCATACCAGTTTTATTTACGACCAGTCGATGCTCGAGACCAAAAGCAAAGCGTTTGTATCGGCGTTTGCAGATGCCGTGGCCGAGGCTGGGGTAAGTAGTGTGTATTGTATATCTATCTCCATAGTGTGACTATATACATCTAGGACTTTGCCTCTGTGCTCCACACCCTAAGCGACCAGCCGGCCAACTCGCCCGCGACCGCCCCTCCGATTCCGTCTGCCGAGCCCCCTCGAAAAAAGCAGGCGCTCTTGACATTGCCGACAAGATCAAACCAACTGATTTCAGAATATGTGATGCTGCGCAACGTCGTGCAGGCCGTGGTGCCTGCGTGGAAAGTAGCGTGTGCGACCATGACCCTCGAAAACCTCGCGGAATTCACCAAGTCCCTGCAAATCGTGTTGAACCAGCTGCATGCGATAATGCGCAAGATCATAGATAACCCTCGGACAATTGTGACACCGCTCGTGTTTGTGAGTACGTACCACTCGGCAGTCATGTGTGTGTGGACGATGGTGCTGAGTGTTTCGCTCAAGAACGCGGCGCCGGCGTCCCGCTCGGACACGCACTTCATGCACACGTGTCTACATTGCTTTCTCGAGAGCGTGGACGGCGTGTACAAGCCGCTCCTTCACTCCAGCGTTGTGCACCGGTGCTTACAGTTTGCCCACATCGCAACCCAGTACGCGCGGGCTCCGCTGGCACCTGAAGTCCAACGCGCCCGCGCTTGGATGCACGACTTCTTCCAGCTGTACTTGGCCAAGCCGCCGACGTACGACAAGTGTCGCGCCTTGGTTGCCGACACGACAAGTGGCCTGGGAAGGCTGCCGGTGCCCGTGACGCGCGAACTGGCCAAGTTGACCGCGCTTCGACACGGATTCGAACACCCCGCGGTGGATGTAGAGCCTGCCGCCGACAATCAACAAGAAGCGTCGATGTCGTTTCATGACCAATCGCTGGGGCTGCACATTGGAGAAACTCAGAATGGGCTGCGTGTGCTCGGCATGACCCCGACCGCGCCAGAGCCAACGAAACGAGCGGTGCAAAGCGGAACCATCCAGCGCGGCGACGTAATTGTCGCTGTGAACAGCATTCCCATCGCCCAATTCGGCGGGTTCCGCGAGCTGTGCGCCGTCGTGGCGTCCACAGCCCGCCCCATCGTGCTCACGTTTCGACGGCGGCCGGTGCGACCTGTGACAGTGAAGCCACAAGACGCAGCAAGGCCACGCACCGCACCGCCCCAAGACGATCCGACACTGGCCGACACACAGACGGAGAGCGCCGCTCATCACCCGCCGCCGCCGCCCCCTTCAAACTCGTTCCTGGACACCCGTCGTCGGATGCCACCACTGCCGACTGGCCTCCAAAGGCAGTCCAGTATTATTCACACCCTGGACGAACTCAACCCCGGTGCTTCTACTCACGAGGTTGCCAACGTAGCGACCAACAGTGCTCGTCGTTACGTGGACCCCCCAGCCATTGCAGCAGAGTATGGAGGACATGCCACGTCACAGTTTGGCCCACAGCAGGACAGTCGGTTTGTCACGATGGCTACACAAGGGTGCCACGATCCCCGAGTTCGCAGGTAACTAGGCGTATCACACACCATAGTTTGTGTATACATACACTGATGTTGGTGGATTGATAGAAGCGATACCAATCACTTCCCCGGGCCGTACAATGTCGCCAGCTTGGAGCAGGGGTTCCAAACTACGACCCCCCTACCACCCTCAAACGTCAACACCAGCACCACATGGAATATCCCCCCCCAGCCTAGTCTTCGCCCGTTCAATACCATGCAGTTTGCACCACCACCCGCTACCATGTTTGACCAGGCAGCACCACCCCTGGACATGTCGTATTACAACCCACCTACAAACCCACCAGGGGGGTATTTTGGGGCGCCCCCCACTTACATGAACTACCACCAACCCAACGTCGTGTACGTGGCTGTGCCTGCTGGCCATCCATTGTACCATTCCGTGCTGCAGCAATCCATGGCGGCATCGTACCCTCCCCCACCCTCCTTCCCCCCCCAATTTCAACAACACTCGCATGCGTGGAATCCAAACGAGTATGCCCCGCCGTGATATTAATCGTGGGTTAACTGAATGCAAACAATCCCTTGGTTCTATGCACATTGAGAGACGGTCGTAAAGTTTGCATATTGACACGAGTTGACTTGCTGCAATGCAATTAGGAGTGCAATTAGGAGTACTACATATTGTGCATTTCATCCAAATTTGTGAGTCATGTCACTCGATCCATTTCATCCAAGCTTGTACAAACTATATGATACAAAGACTAGTATATATATGGTTTTGCCCAATGCGGAGGGACTGGCCCGAGTCAAACGTTCGGGTTGGCAGAAATTTACCAGAATGTGATTTGATTGGCTTAGGTGGTTCTTTAATCCATTCTCTCAGATATTAATACTATTAATAGTAGGAGTATTCGTTTTTCCAGTTTCGAATCGATTTGACAATACTGTGTAACGTTATTAATCAGACCAATTCCGGTATGAACGTACCAGTAGCGTTAGAGAGTTCGAATACTGTGGTAACAAATACCTATGACAGTGCATTACCTGTTGCATTCGATATTCCGCTAGTATTCTCCACATAGAAAATGTATGTAGGGAGGGTATAAGATTGCACGATTCGGATTCCCGCTTTTTCAGTCATCATTTGAAGCCAGCAATCCGTCGGCGTATGACCACTGCCAGCCCTGTCGCGTTCGATACCATGGCATGGGTGCTCACTGACGGTCATCCATGGTGGCCTGTCTATGTGATTAATCCTGCCCACATCCCGCCAGAGCTCAAAGCGTTTGGTACGACCTATGCGCAATCCTCAACTCGACCTGACATGTGGATAGGTCAGTTGGAGCGCGAGTCTGCCGAAACGGCCAACGCCGACGACACACGCGTGCATCTCGTGTTCAACTTTGGTCGGCACACATTGTACGTACATGGAGTGATTGCTATGGGAGCGTTATCGATAACGCCCGTAGGTCTGTGCACAACATGGACGCGATGAAGGCATGGAATTGCACTCAACATCCTACACTGCTTCAAGGCTACCCGATGTCGGCCTTTCGAAAGCGAGGAAACATCGCCGAATTTCGTGATGCAATGAAAGAAGCAATGGTGTGTGGTTATTCAGCATATGCCAAGTGTGATCGTGGTCATGTGATAGGTGTTCGATGCGGAAGACATCGCCACTCGTCGATTGCCTCTGTCTGAACCACACAACATGGACAAGGAAAACCAAGACCCGAGCACCCCCAACCGCGAACTCGTGAGTGCCAAGGCAGACGGCGACCTTCCTGGCCCCGTTTGTACCGTCGACATTACTTCGCCAACTGGGCCAAGCCTTACCACTCCAATCCATGGGGACGACAATGACGAGTGCCATATTTCTCCGCCGCCGCCCAGTCAGCCAAGCGACGGGGGCATCGAACTACCTCCACAAGGAGTTGCTCTTGGGAGTAAGGCCAATGCCAGTCCACCCCCCTTCCTGGCAGTGCCTGACGAACCATGCACAACCATTGGGGCTCCGCAAGTTGAGCCCAGTCCAGTCGATGCGTCTGACCTCCCCCCACGCGAAGGACCGTTGGAGTGCCCCAACGTTGTTGACGAGCCCGTGGCGTCGAGTTCCGCGACCGACGGCACGGCGCACGCCGACGTTTCGGACACGGTGGCGACCCCACAGAAGTCCGATTCCGCCGCCGACGAAGCCACCATCACCCAGAACAACGAGGAGGAAGTAGATGGAATGTTACTAGCCGGGACGTCAGAGAACGATGGAACTGTGATTACCGAGATCGTGTCCTCGTTGGTCGACCGCGTCATCACCGCCGTCCTTCCCATGTCCAGCAAAGAAGACGACGAAAAAGATGCCATCGCAGGCAAACAGGCCGAGCCAAGCGATGATGTAGCGCTCGACACCGCTCGAATCTCTCTTCCAGACCAGGGATATAGCAGTAGCAGACGTGTGGCCCCTGCACCACCCAAGCGCGACGACGCCGCAGAAGAAGAAAGCGGTGAAATTGCGCCGACTGGTCATCTCGTGGATGCACCGATCAGCTCACCCACCACGGCGGACCAAACGAAGGCGTCAATGGACTCGTCGTCACCCGTCGGCAAACCAGCTGCCCCCATCGACCAGTTTGCCAACGCGCTAGCCGACCCAGAGCTCATGGCCATGGCGGATATCTTAGGCATTTCTATTGAACCCCACACTCCAACGCAACAGCCCAGTGTCACAGCATCGTCATCGTCAGTAGCGATCGCGTCGACAAAAGCAGTGTCACAGGCCGTTTCAACTGGTGAATCCACCGGCAGTCCTGTGGTCGACAGCATGGGAGTGGACACGATGGCGTGGGTGAAGCGGGGCGCGGGGCCGTGGTGGCCTGTGTATGTATGTGACCCCACGACCGTGCGACAGAAACTCAAGCTCTCAGGTACCACCCAATCGCTGGAAGAGTTAAGGCGACTGTCCTTATTTGTAGGGCCAAACCACAACATGATGCTGTATCGAGCGACGACCCACCCCGACATTCGGCTCGTGTACTTTTTCGGCCTCAACAAACTGTACGTTGTCACACATATATCCCGTCGACGATGTCACAGGACTGATATTTGCGTGTTGTAGCGGCAGTACCAAGCTCAGTGCTCGACGAATCAAGGCGTGGAATTGTGCCGAACAGAATGCGTTGATGTTTCCTCCCATCTCGCACTTGGAGTCCAAGGCCACGTTGGATGCCTTTCGCGCGGCCGTCACGGAAGCCCAGGTCGATTGTGTTGCGTTTATAATAGAATTGCTTTGAATCTCGCAATGTGTAGGCATACGTGGACTCTTCCGACAAGGTCCTTCCTGCATTATCAACCGCCGCGCACGCAGCGGAAGCCACACCCACGAAACGGTCGCTAGACGTGGACGGCAGAACGGCTGACTACAGCTCTGACGACGAGGATGCTGCAGTCGGCATGTCAGTTGAGGCCGATCATCCGCCGCTGCCTGTTGGGGTGGTGGCGTGGGCCAGAGCGAACAACGGCCCGTATTGGCCAGTGTATCTCTGTGACCCGACGACGATTCAGTCCAAATTGCGTCACCTCGGTAATATATATATATATATAGGCGATTTGTATGATGAGAAGCTGACAATATATATGTCTTGTATATGTAGGCAACCGCCATGCTGCGCTGTTGACTCGGGCGCGAAAGCATCCGCACGAGTACCGATTGGCCTACGTGTTTGGCAAACATGAATTGTACGACCAGATTTTGCTATATTGTGCTTTCGAGTGAAATTTCGTTTTGTGGCGTGGTTTCTCGTTGGTATTTAAATCGATTTGATTGGCTACCACAGATGAGCTGAAAATTACTAGCCAATCAAAACCTTCTGAATGAAATTCAACCAATCAGATCGATTGTGGATCGGTTTGGTCGGCGCGATTCGATTGCACCCCGTCCCCAAATTTGTATCAAATCAACAATATTTGAAAACTCTTTATTGTAGATATATGTTTTTGTTTAATATATATATATATGTTATTGGTAGTGCGTTGCACAAGGTGTCGGGTCGAATGAAAGAGTGGAATTGCCCCGACCAGCTCGAGTTGATGCAAGGAGAGCACTCTGGGCTACGCCACGAAGAACTATTTGAAGACTTTTCGTTGGCTGTGATCGAAGCCGAGGTAAAAATCAATGGCAAAACTATATTCGTAAAGATATATATATATTCGTAAAGATATACATATATTCTGACCAAAGATATACATATATTTTGACCATTACGTGTATGCGTAGCAATACCTGGCAGCGGACGACACCTCTCGAACGCTGCCGCAGTTGACCAAAGCGGATATGGGGATGTCTGGCGACGACGATGACACAAGTGCTGCTCTATCATGTCAAGGTACTGTTCAAAGTTAGGTGGTATAAGACTCAATCGTGTCGTCCACAGGTTTGTTTAACGAACCGTCCAACCACCGACTAGAACTCGACCAAGGACACGCGGATGAGGACGGTGGTGCGGTGGTGGATGTGCCGTTTGACTGCCTGGCGTGGGGACGGTCCCGCGGGTATCCGTGGTGGCCAGCTTACGTGTGCGACCCTCTCCACATGCGTCCGGACTTGGTCGCATTGGGTAACAAACAACCCTCTCGAGGCTTGGTATACAACCTTGACATTTGGGTTTAGGAGGATTGAGCAGCAGTAATTACAGCACGGCCAAGCGCAACTTGACGGGGTGTCGCCTGGTGTACTACTTTGGCCGAAACGCATTGTACGTGAAACGACTTGGTGTGATAGTTGTATATGTACATTATATACCTGTGAATGTGTTAGTGGCCTCTTGAAGGCACGCGTCAAGCCGTGGATGTGTGGCGAACACGCAACGTACGCCCGAGGCCACCCAATCGAACAACTGGCGGCGCCCAGCATGGACGCTTTGTTTACGAAAGCGAAGGCCGAAGCATTGGTACAGTCGTGGTCACTGGGCATTGTCTCATGTGTTATGTAGGCCTTCCTGGACAACCCAGCCTCTGCGTTTTCAATCAAGCCAAGCCCTTTACACGTTGCTATACTGCCAAGTATAACTGGGGACAGTCCTCACGTAGCGCATCCATATCAAAGCAGCAGCAGCAGCGATCATTTGGTGCTGACAGAGCCAAAGAAACGAGGTCGTCCGCCGAAACCACGCGATGGGTCCGCCGATCCGCCGTCGAAACGAAGCCGTTGTGCTGTCACAACCGCCCCTTCTGCCTCCGACGGTGTCGACCCGCCACCCACAGACTCGACAAGCGGCGGTGGAGGCGGGGAAAGCCAACATGGCAATGCGGACGACAGGGCACCCAATGACGGGTTGGAGCCGACTGACTCGACCGAATGGTTTTCAAACGCTGGCGAGTCGTCCGAGCACGAGGACGGCGACGACGACGACGATGTCGCAGATGTAGCGAATGGGTCGGTCGGCTGGACCAGACCCCCCGGGTCCCCGTGGTGGCCAGTATTCGTGTGCGATCCGAGTCTAGTGCGGGACCATTTGCATTTCTTGGGTACGAATTCTCCATTCGTCAGTTTAGTCTGGTTCATAACATGTATATCAATACTAATAAGTAGGCGATGCCCATCAAGCAGTGTTGGACAAGGCGAAACACGATCCAAACGTTCGCCTTGTGTTTTACTTTGGCATGCATAAATTGTAAGCCTCATATATCTATGATATATGTATGTGCTGAGTGTACATTTGTGATCCTAGGGGCCTTGTGAAAGGAAATAGCCGAATTCGAAACTTGAAGCCGTGGAAGTGCCGCGACTTCCACCTGTTTGTCCAAGGATACCCCGCCGGCACCGTCCAAGGCTCGGTGGTGGCCGCGAGCTTTTTTACTGCGGTGCAAGAAGCGCATGTATGTTTGGATGTACATGTAGAATCATCATCTCATGGGAAACACAGACGTTTGTAGCATCCGATGAAAACACTCGAGTGCTGCCGCGCATGGTTCCGTCAGACATGGACCCGCTCCTGGAACCTCCAGCTCCCGCGAGAACCACGCCCCAAGACAGCACGAGTGCCGGAGGCGACGTCGTACCCATCAACCCTTCGAAGAAGCGACCCCAAATCCTGGCTAACATTCCCATTGGCCAAGTAGCATGGTGCAAGCCGTCCCGGAGTCCGTGGTGGCCAGTGTATGTGTGCGATCCTGCCAATCTGCGACAGAGTTTGCACCACTTGGGTACGTGTATTATTCTTATCCCATATACAACCTTCAACATTGATCACGTCTATGTGTTGAATAGGAAAACAACATCGCAGTTTGCTTGTCAAGGCCCAGCAAAACCCGACGGACACGCGCTTGGTGTACTACTTTGGCCGCTACATTTTGTACCGCAAGTAGCAGCGATGGACTCTGTGCTCACGATGGTGTTGTTGTAGTGGCCTCGTCAAGCTCAACGGCAAGATCAAGCCGTGGCGATGTGTGGAGCACGGGGACTTCCTCCACGGGTTCCCCGAGGTCGCCATGGATACCCAGGATGTTGTGGACGAGTTTTACAATGCGTTGAAAGAAGCCGAGGTATGGGGCATTGGACAAGTAGTTGGATTCAAACAAGCGATGTGGTAGGACTACTTGGCGGCGGATGAAGACACGCGGTTGCTGCCGTTCTTTGTCGAGTCGGACACGAATCTGGACTTGGACCCGCCGCCCCCTTGTGCCGACAACCCCCACACAGATGCTCGTGGTCATAATGCTGATACGACAGTCGCCAACGAGCAAGCTGGGGACGACGAGGAAGTACCCCCTGGAAATCACGAACGATCATCGAATCAAGCAACCAGCATCCCGCACGACGCTGTGAGTGACGTGGTGCCGACGACCGACGACCACGGGGATGTGACTTCGTTGGATTACTTTGGATTGTACACGACACCGCCAATGGAGCTTCCGGTGACGAGAAACATTGCCATCCAAGAAGGGCCGACGAATCAAGTGGAAACAAATCATCACGATGAGCCAGACTCTGTCCCGCAGAGCACGAAAGAGGTGGCAAGCGCCGCCTTGCCCCTGGAAAGCCTCGTGTGGGCTCGGTGGGCCGATGGGTCGTGGTGGCCTGCGTACGTGTGCGACCCCCACAAGCTCAGGGACACGCTGCACAATTTGGGTACGTCGCCATTATCGAATAAACCCCGAAACCCCGAAACCCCTGACCACTGGACTGGACGTAGGCACGCGCCATCACTACGACAATAAGTGGACACTGGCCAAGAAATCCGAGTCGGGGCAGCGGTTGGTCTACTATTTTGGCCGCTACTGCTTGTACGTATTGTTCCTGTGCAAACGATGTATGTGTGAATGACTGGTTGATCTAATTCGAGTAGTGGGCTGCAAAAGAAGACGCTGCAGCCGTGGAAGTGCGCTGACCACGCCACTTTTCTCCGTGGCCTTGGTCGCTTGGCTATGCAAAACCGTGACACGTTCATCAAAGCCCTCATGGAAGCACAGGTACACTACTCGACGATACGATACCATCCAACTCGAACGATAGGATTTCGACGCTTGCGATGCCACCGAGCGCCTGCCTCCGCACATGGTGCCGTCCGACATCAACCCACTGGTGGACCCGCCATCGCCCGAAACAGCCTACTTCGTGCCGGACGAGCGAGCGGTTCGAAGTGAAAAAGCCAAAGTCCCCAGCGTCGTCTTGCAGGAAGCCGTGCCGGCAGCCGACGTGGACATTGTAGCGTGGGCGAAGTCAGACGGGTATCCGTGGTGGCCAGTGTATATTTGCGATCCAGACAAAGTCAAGCACACGCTGTATGCCCTCGGTAATATATATTTGATCTATTATATATATATATCGAAGTATGATCTTGCTTACTCGTTGTGTTTGATAGGCAATGGACACGATTTCATTTACAACGAGGCGGTTCGAAAACCAAAAATCCTTCGGATTGTATACTTTTTTGGGTCCCATCGATTGTACGTTTAAACTAAAGTTATCTATATATATATATATATCTGACGATGTATGTATGGTGTGTAGTGGCTTGTCGGAAGTCCATCCCAAAGCGATTCAAACTTGGCAAGCCGATAACCACGCGGTGCTGCTCCAGGGAGTGCCGAAGAAGCTCATGCAGCGAAAAGGGATCGTTGACGTGTTTGCGACTGCGATGGACGAAACAAATGTATGTGACACGGTCTCGAAATAGTTGACACTGTGAGGATTCATTTAGAAATTCATTGCGTCCAACGAACCTGTGCTTGTCTTTCCCGATGTTGTGGACGAAGAGCTCCAACATGACACGCTGGACCAGGTAATGAATTGTTTGGATTTATATAAGACTTATATAAATCCAAATAATTCGTATCTAAGGTTAATGTGTAGGCTCAACGCACATCATCATCTGTCCATGAATCAAAACCGGACAAAGCAGAGCCAGTTGACACGATCGCGTTCGACACGGTCGCGTGGGCGTATCTGAGTGGCTTTCCGTGGCTACCGGTGTATGTGTTTGATCCGTTTCGGCTCAAGCCAGAGCTCGAACACTTGGGTAATATTTATATATATATATTTACTTGGTCATTTGTTTACTTGGTTGACTTGCTCTCGACGCAGGAAGCCGCCATGCGGAGGTCCTCAAAGAAGCCCAACAGCACGCCGACACGTATCGCATCGTGTACTATTTTGGCTCGCACAACTTGTACGTGTATATATATATACCCTTTATCGACGAATTTACCTCAACTGTGGGGCTAGTGGACTGCACAAGACTCCGAATGTGACCCTGCGACACTGGGGGTGTGCCGAGCACGACACCATGTGCCTCCCCACGCCAAGCAAGGCCAAACGGTCGTCGTTTCGCAGCCAAGTAAAGAAGGCGCTGGCCGAGGCCGATGTAATCGACATTGATGACGGACTTTACAACAAGTTGCCAACTTGAATTTATTTTTTCTAGACGTATCTGGCGTCCAGCGAACGTATCCGGTTGCTGCCGAAGTTTACCGCGTCAGACATGTATTCGCTGGCGTCTGCCGACCGCTTGCGTGTGTCGGTTGCGAAAACGCAAGCGCAACGAGCCCATCGCGAAGTACCACGCGGAAGTCGTCCGCCCCCTTCCTCCAAGGCGGCACGCCCGAAACCGCCAAGTCCGACGAAAGCACGTGCTATAACGACCACCAAACCATCCACTGCGACCAAATCAACGGCATCCCGAGGAGCCCCCCCCATCAAGCACGACGTCGACTCGGATGACTCTGAAACGTTTGAAAAGCTGCTGATAAAGCACGACAAAGCACTGAAGTCCAAGGCCGCCAAGCCAAGTGTCGACCTGATTCCGTACAACTGCCTCGCGTGGGCGCTGCTCGAGGGGTACCCGTGGCTTCCCGTGTTTGTATTGGATCCGTTCACGTTGCAAGCTGACCTCCACCTCTTGGGTAACCCCCCCAAACTCTCGTACTATATTGGACATATCCCTGACGAATCTATGGGGGGGGGGTATTGTAGGAAGTGGCCATGGTGCGAGTTTGCGCAAAGCCAAAAAACACCCCGACCGCTACCGCATCGTGTACTACTTTTGCTCGCACAACTTGTACGTGTATAAGATAACTTAGCCCTGGCACACTAATATATATATATATATATATATATTGTAGCGGACTGCACACGCATCCTGCCACGACGCTTCGGCCGTGGAACTGCCATGAGCATGCTTCATTTCTCACTGGCTTTCCAAAGAGATCGTGCCGCGGCAAGAAGATTCTAGAGGATTTGGTGGATGGCGTCCGAGAAGCCGATGTATTACCCCCATATGAGTCTTGTATATGTATGTATCGGTTTTGTATGATGGTGGTTGGGATAGTGCTTTGCAGCTGCGGCTCCGGACACTCGACTGCTGCCGTACATGGTTCCGTCGGACACGAACCCGACGCTGGCGCCGCCCTCGCCGCAGTTTGTGCCGTACAATTCACTAGCATGGGCGATTACAGAGGGATTTCCATGGATGCCTGTCTATGTCTTTGATCCGTTTCAGTTGCGCTCCAAGTTGACGCATTTGGGTAGGTTGGGTCGACTAGATGCTATGGTCATGAATATATATATATATATGATATTTCGTATATGACACACTAGGGAGTGGCCATCGAGACCTTCTCCGACGGGCACGGGCCGCGCCCGAAACCACCCGCCTCGTGTTTTATTTTGGCTCGCACAGTTTGTACGTTGTTTTATATATATATGTATATATTATTACTCCAGTGAATGAAATACATATAATATGGGCAGTGGGTTGCACAAATTCGATGGCACGTTGAAGCCATGGAATTGTTCGGAGCATGGCCAATACTTGGAAGCCAAGGCGGATTCACTCTTGTACATCAAGAAGAGCGTGATTGAGCAATTTGACATTGCCATGGACGAAGTCGAGGTAGGTTCTTCACTTGATTCATGACCGCTCTTCAGTTAATAACTACAATGGACACAGGTGTTTTCTTCGATGGACGAGGGCCACCGGTTGCTTCCGTACATGGACCCGTCCGACTTCGACAACCCGCCGACGCTGTCCCAGCCCCCGAGTCGCCACGTCCGGACGGCCCCTCGCTCCCGAGAGGCGTCTCCGCCCCGCAAACGCGCCGCCAAGCGCCTCCGGTTGTCGAACGAGGACGTCCCATCGAAGAGCCGGGCGCAAGTTGCCGCGGCGCATGAGCGGGCGGTGGAAGTGAAGCGCGCGTTCGAGGCGAGGATGGCATGGGTGCAGTGGGACCGAGTCGTGTGGTGGCCAGTCTACATTTGCGAGTCGAAACCAGTCCACCGATATGTTTGGGGTACATGAGTGGACGCCTGAAAAAAATGGATATATATATATATATACGAGGGGGATCTAATCGGTGCATTAGACTCGGAACGGCAGCACATGGAATCGACAGACTATTCCTCCACGTTGGTCCACGTGTATCATTTCGGCACCAAAGCCTTGTAAGCTGACGACGCGGCTACGTTGGTACTCACTGTGATTGTAGTGTTGAGCATGCGTTGAGCTCCATCAAGCCATGGCGATGTCCCGAGCACGATGCGATGAGTCAGGGTCCACTTGCATCGACCGGCGGCGTTAAGGATTTGTTCAAAGCTGCGATGGCAGAAGCGGAGGTGGTTATGACACGTGGCGTACATTGACGAGATTGCGTAGGAGTTTGCGGACTCCATGCCCACGCAACCCACGGAGGACGACGCACCGGATGAAAGCGACGAGGACCCAGGAGTGGAAGAATTGGGCGAGCCGGAACCACTCAAGTCGCCTTTTGACGACGAAGACAGTGGCGATGACATCATGAGCGACCATGATGACCACCACCACAGCTCGGAAGAAGAAGAGTCTGCCGACAGCGACGACAACGACGTGTAAATGCACATATATGATTGTTAATGAATCTAGTACGTGTACCTACTACTAGTAGTTCTCCTAGTACTACCGTATACCTTATGGATCAGTAGTGCCCACGATTTTGCCTTTTCGAGTTGTACCCAAATCGATGTATGGTGTCAATAAAGAACAAGTCGCTTTATATTGGTCAAATTTGTCGTCCAATTATTACATTCTAGCCAAGCAAATAAGTGGAAGAAGTAGAAATGGCCAATCCGAACAATATTCGAAAGAAATCCGACCACCTTTCTGAGTTAACAATTCAGATTTTACTGACATTTTTGGGGGTATAGAATACGTACCGGTAGAGTAGTCCAACTACTTAATCCGTTTCACATTCTAGCCAATTATTATAGTTTACGTAAACACGACACTTGTTTTTTTTCACCATTTCAAAATGTCCACGCCTTCGAGGCTGAGTTTCCACACGCGAATATAAATGAACCACTGTCGTCACACTCCACGAGCACTATTCAAAGCGAACTTGCACACAACTGAACCAGTACTACAGTACTGGTATAGTGGGAGGCTGCTTGGGCTATCGAGTACGTACTACTAGTACGTACAAGGAGTCTTGATTTTCTAGACTCAGTAGTGATAAGGAAACTATCAGTCGTCCATGAGAATTGTCGTTTTACACGTAATTCGTTGTTTGGTTCATATATTCTTCCTGTGCTAGTATACTACTACTATACCGCTGCTGCTTAGCAATTTCGCGATCTCCATCAAATGCTGGGGTATCGCACTTCCTTTCAATGGTCAGGGCACGATTTCAACTCAATGTCGCGACGAAAACCATTAAATCCTCCGAATCTTGGTCGTCATCGTCGATGCAGCCTTCGCCATGGCATGAGAAAGAAAACGAAGTGCTAACAGAGTCCGACAACGAAGCGATCAACGACTACAAGCAGCAGTGGGAAGCCACGCCACAGGCGCTTCTACTCGAGCTGGCCCCGTCCCTCCGATGCTCGTATCAGTGCTGGTGAACATCGACGACCGTCAACGAGTATGCGATTGCCCACCATGAAGATGCACAAGACAAACCAACGCAAGGGGACACGCCGACGCCGACGACGATGATCGAGGGCATGGGCTGAGTACTGAATTCGACGCCCAGGTCCCCGAAGAGTCCATGGACATGTGGGGCCCCAACCACCTCTTCACGTTCCCCGCGCATGGCCGATGCAGAACTGGCGCGGCTGCGAAGGGGGATGACTGTACTTCGTATTAATAGTAATTCGGACTGTTATCTACTGTACACTAATAAATGATTGCATTATTTAATAATGACGCGGTATGTGTTTTGAGGGGTAAAAGTTCGTGCTAACGTTATAATATTCATGGGAAAAGGTCAAGGATGCAACAGCCACCGCCCCACCCTCCACTTCCGCCAGGGCTGGCTCCGCCAGTCCATTCGTTTGGACGCCATACGCTGTACAACCCAGACGTAGTACCGCCATGCCGGTTCTTCCTCTCCGCGAAAGGCTGCATGAGAGGTACTGCGTGCGAATTCAACCACATGGGTCAACCACCGCCGAGTCGCGCCCCGTCGGCAACAAAGCCAAAGCAAGCTAAGGCCCCGTGTCGATTTCATGCAAAAGGAGAGTGCCGGAAAGGTGCCAGTTGTACATTTTCCCACGCTGGAGAGGGTCTAGCTGCGCTGCCCGACCTGGAAGCGCTTCGAATCTCCAAGCCGTCCAGAAATGCCAACTCGTCCGACACAAACTTGCTTGCTGCGTTGGACGCAGACAAGATATTAACCAGAGACCTCGTCGGTCCCTTCTTCTCTGTCGATGTCGAGTGCGTGGCCACGGGCACTGGATACGGGTACGTTGTCTGAACTTGACGTTGGGACGTCACCATGCCCTGTAGGGACCGCGACGTCGCTCGCATTGCAGTCGTGGACGAAAACGAAGTTACCGTGTTCGACTCGTACGTTAAGCCGGACAAGCCCATCGTAAGCTACCTCACGCAGCTCACTGGCATCACGGCAGAGTACGTCCACTAAACTGACGACACTTTGTGGTGGTCATAGCTGGCTGTGGCCGTAGGCACTTGACCGATGCGAATTCCCTCGCCGACGTGATCGCAGACTTGAAAAAAGTGCTTCCATCACAGTGTGTTCTCGTGGGCCAGTCTGTCGACAAGGACGCGCACTGGCTGGGGCTGCAACCAGCCGTCGACTTCCGCGTCCTCTTCAACGTCGCCGACCTCTTCCGCGTCCCTACCACCTCCAAGTCGTACAACTACCGGTACTTTTCACTGCGCCACGTGGCCAAGTACTTGCTGGAAGCCACCATTCAGGTTAGGCATTGCATGCACAACTACTCGTGGTGTGTAGGTAGTAAGTACTATAGGCCATCTCGCCTGATTCTTCCCATGTTTACAGGAAAGCGACCACGATCCCGTGGTCGACGCCGTGTACGCGATGAAGATCTTCAAACGCTTCCGGTACTTGCACGAATCATCGGGCCACCGCCAAGCGGTACTGCAGACGCTGCTGAAAACGCCGCGAACGCCGTCCTTTGCGGAGCGGTTTCCCGTCCTCGATGGCGTGCTTATGGCCCGACCGAAGGAAGAACGAGGTGCTTTGATGGACTAGACCCAGCTGGGTTCCACCAATCAGTTAAAACTCGATTAAGTATCGTTTATCATTTCGATTAAATATCGCTGTCGTCCGAGTCATCTGGGTCGCCCACGCCTTTGCTCTCTTCTGGTAGTTTGGTTTCCCCTGCATCTACCTCTGCAAGAGGTGGCTCGTCGTCTTCCGAGGCGGACGACGACTGGATCGACGGCAGCGGACCGTCTGAGTCGTCCAATTCGTTTGCAAACTCGTCCAAGTCGCCGCTCACGTCGCTGACGCTGCTATTGTCCCTCGGGCTATGCACTTCGTCGAGTGGCAGCCCCAAATACTGTTGTTTGAACTTGACAAAATCGAGGCCGTTAGGACCGTCCCATGGCCGCCGCGTTTGCTTTCGGATGGCTTTGATGCGGTGGTTGTCAATGATCTAACCAGCATAGCATGGAGAAAGGAAGGGCGTGAAATATCACAGCTCTGGCAACCAAGACAACACCAGGCAATAAAGACGCACCTTTTGCCGGACTTGGGCCCCGGCTTCCGCGAGCAGCTTGTCGACCACGTCCTTGGCATAATGGCGGTAGTCTTGGCGTATCTCGTGCTTGAGTTTGATCTGCAGCACGAGCATGTCGTCAACCTGACTCGTCATGCGACGAATGTCGTCTTGAATGTCTTCTTGCGCAAACTAGGAACCATCCCAAGGCATATATTACTCTTTCAGGATATTCGTCGAGATAGTTCGTGCTCTGGCATCTCATTAGATTCAACATTTGGTAGAGTGTATCGAATCACTCGAAATGGCAACACATAAACACACACACTGTACCAACGCTTGCTTTTCATCCTGGTCAACCCATCCGTCGCCGGCCACGGTCTTGTCTAGCGCATGCTTTTGTAGGGCCACTTGCAGATCCGCTTTCCTCAGCGCGATCTTTCGTTTGAGCTGTGGCACTTGCTTCTTGATGAGTTTCACACGTTGCCGACGCTGCCGTTTCATTGCTTTTGCTTCCTTCAAGAGGCGCGCCTACACCCCCCCCAATCATATGCAACACACAGTATGAACCAATGCTCCAGAGGCCAAGGTATCATCTATCTGCCCATATACTTACTGCATGTATTTGCTACACAAACACCCTACCTTGCCATCCCGAGACCTCAAGCAAAATGCTTCGATCTCGTTGCGCACTTGGCCTAGCGCTTGGGCCAAATGCTCGAGCTCCTTTTGTCGGCGCAGCGCTTCGTCCGGCGTAATCATGGTCTGGAGGATCACCCACCCCGAGCGGTAGCACGGCTCGTGGCGCTTGTTCTCTCGCAGAAGCTGTTCGCATCCGCATCGGAACGGCACCTTGTCCGTGGCGAGTCCCACGGGGCCGTACATGCCCTTGTAGTTGTTGAGCGCGTCCTCCACCGCCTCCCGACTGTGGGGGAAGGCCTCCTCTTTGAAGCCCCGCTCCACACGCTTCTTGATGACGCTCAGAATGCCCGGGACGTCCTCCCAGTCGAGGTACACCGCGTTCGGGTCGAGCATGTACACTAACTCCTCCTCTGCTTGATACCCCCACGGCCGCGTCAAATCGTAGCGGAACTCGACCTTGTCCAGCCATCTAACAATATCTTGAGGTAAACGAGCAAGGAATTAAGTGGACGCCGCACCTTTTCCGTTGAATGAGCTGGCACAGCTTGAGCACGTCGTCCAGCACGGCATGTCGGGCAGCTTGGGCGCGCTTGAATTGCAAGTCCACGAGGGCTTGCACAAGGTCCACCCCTCGCACGTCCGGATGTTCGTAGAACGGGCCGTTGATGTACCGATCGACGGTCTTGTCGAATTCCACCAAGTCCGACGGAAGCAGAAACAAGATACCCGAGACGAGCAAGTCCCGGGCGTGGGGCGTGAAGTGGTCGTCGTGGAATCCGTACTGGGCAGCCGACAGCAACCGCTTGAACTCGACCACGCGTGCGGTTCGTTTCTGGAGGTACTCGTGGATGGCCCCCACGCCCTGGGCTAAAATGGCTGGCGGCGGCGACCGCAGCGGGTTGCCTTCGAATTCCGCCACCTGAAGTGTGCGCAGGTTGCCAAACTCGACGGGCAATTCCGCAAGTTTATTTGCTTGCATCCAGATGCGCTGAATGCTCTGAAACTGCGTCGCAGCGACCGGGTAAACTGTAAATCGATTGCCAGACCTGCAGGTTTGTTAGCTGGGTGTACATATGTCGTCAAGACGATATAGGTCATACAAGGCCAAGTCGAGGAGATTCGAACGACCAATCGACGCGGGCAAGTCCGACAGCAAGTTCAAATTCGCGCGAAAGTCCACAAGACTGGTCAAGGTCGTAAAGTCGAACGAGGTCAAGGAGTCGATGCTGTTGTTGGACACGTCTAGCACTTGGAGGGAGGTCACTAAAGCGAGGGAGTCAGGTAGGGCTGTGAGGTGGTTGTGTGGCACGAGGCACTGCTCGAGGTGCGTTAGGGCCTCCATATGACGTGGCAGGCTGTCAAGAGAGTTGCACCCCATCCGCAGCACGCGCAGTTTGGTGCAGAGCACCAACGTGGACGGCAATGTCGTGAGCTGGTTGTTTTCGCAGTCCAATTCTTCCCATGAACATGACGGCGCGATGCAGTCTGCGGGAAACTCGATGAGCAAGTTCTTGCGCAACGTGAGCAACCGCAGCGACGTCAAGCGAGCAATCTCAGGTGGCACTCGACCCAGCGCGTGCCCCGTGAGTCGCAACTCCTGTCGTTTCAAAGTGAAGGAGGAAGTGAATGGTTATAGTCTTGGGCGATGAATGCAGCCAGCATGGCGATGATCACATGCATGCATGTACACGTTAGAAGAAGGTGATATTTATTTTACCGTCAAGTTGATCAAGTCAAACAGTTGAAAGGGCAGCTCTGTCAGGTTTCGCCAGTGAAAATCCAACACATGGGTGGTCGTGGCGTCGTGAACGAGCTGCAGAAACTCCTTGTGGACGTGGATGTCGGTCGACTACAATGATTTCACCGGTGTCATCACACTTCCAAGGGCAAATTCATACGTACCACACACTCTTGGGCAATGCCTGACGTGACTTGGAGGGGCAGCGGAGGCAGACCCTTGGCGTCTCTACACCCATATCCATGTGAAGCCATAACACGGTTGAACGGGAAGAGATTGTGCTTTACATGTGGATTTGGTTTTTGATGTCCCAAAGGATGGCGGGGAGGCCGTTCTTTTGACTCGACGCCGACGGCACTTTCAACTTGACGTTGCCGACCAAGTTCAACGACGTCAAGTGTGTCAATTGGAGCATCGACGGCGGCACGGACACGAGCGAGTTGCCGCTCACGTCCAAATGTGTGAGCGTTGTAAGCTGTCCAATGTCCGGGGGTAGGGTCGCCAGGCGATTCAGTTTCATGTCCAGTCTATATCATTTTGTTGAGTAAACACAAATGTGATATATTTATTTCACTCTTTGAGCTTTGGGATGCGACAAAAATGAGGCGGCAAACTCGTAAGGAAGTTGGATCCCACGCGCAACACGGTCAAGTTTTTCAAGGTGCAGATCGTGTCTGGCAAAGTCGTCAGTTGGTTGTGCTCCATTTCGAGCACTTGCAGTTGAAACATTTGCCCCTACGCATCCAACAACAAACGTCAGCCAGCATTTTCCCATGGCGATTTCGGACCATGGACGATGGCAGCTCTTGAATGTTGTTGCTCGACAGGTTGAGTCGTTCCAAGTGTACAAAACATTCGTATCGATCCAGTTCCTTTGGTATCCTAGGATCAAGTAGCCACGGTTGAAGTTCTATGGGTAAAAAAGTACTACCAGTCAAAGATTTCGCCATTCGCGTGGTTGAGGTACTGGGTGGGCAGGCCTTTCTTGACTTCCCACCCACCCGGAAAGTCCTTGACACTAGATTGAGGGGGGGCAGGGGTGATGGCGTTGGGCATTCGCAGCTTGGGGATGGTTGGGGTAGCGGACGGAATCGGTCCCAACACCACAGGGCGGACCCGCGTGATGGCCTGGGTCACGTTGTTGAAGTATATGGGCTGGTTAGTAGCGGGGTCAAGGTTTTGGATCCAATCTTGCGCTCGACGCCCTGGCTTTCCCAGGTCGTCGTCATCGTCGTCGTTTAGGTTGTTGGCTGTGGCGTGGCTATGCCGCGATTTGAACGACGGAAGCGGCAAGAGGGCCGCGGAAATCAGCGAATTCCTCGCGCACGTGAAGGTGCGTAGGTACTTGAGTTCGTACAGGGCATTGGGCAATATCACGAGCTGGTTGTGAGACAGGTCGACCGAAGTCAGGCGAGTCAAGCGATGCATGTACGAGACGACGGTCAGGCGGTTGCGCGCCACGGAGAGGTTAGTGAGGGTGGTGGGCAGGATGTCCGGAAGCGCATCCAGTTGATTGCAGTCCAGGACGAGCGACGTCAGTTGGGACCACCGCGAGATCTCGGGCGCCAAGGCCATGATGCTATTTTCACTCGCGTTCAACACGTGGCAGCCTGGAAACCCATCGCAAAATTGCCGCGACAAGGCGCGGAATTCGTTCCGACTGATGTTGACTTCAGTGATGAACCGAGCCATCTGGAGCATGAACGTCGACGACAGCGACTCGGGAAGCATGTCGATCCCCAAAGCTTTGATGTCGAGTTTGCCGCTGCCGTAGCTGTGGTGGATGGCGCGTTGAATGGTCTCTGCTGGGGTCAGGATGTCGTTGGCCAGTCCTTTCATGCGCGCTTCGCCCTGCGTCCGCCGTCGCTCCATGATGACGGAGACGTCATTGAGGGTTGGGGCTCCAGTGGTGGCCATTCTAACAACCTCGTTAGAATGTGAAGCTATGGGAGGCAATGGTCGTGCCGGGTCTCGAGGAAGGTGGTTTTGAACTTATCCGCTTGCTGGTCCCGTACGTAACGCTCTTGGTTGGACAGAGCTTTGGATTTGTGCTGGGTGATGATTTCCTTGATGGTTTGCCGAGTCTTGAGGTAGCTTTGATTCGCGTCGTACTCCTTGTGGATGTTGACGATGGGCGCCGGCTTCGGGCGCTTGATGGACGACTCGCCGGGGAGCTTGTACAGGAGTCCATCTCCCTGAAGACTCTCCTGACGAAACACATTTGCGTGTGTGGTCAGGTCGTCGTCTGGCCTTGCTTTGATCATCCGTTCAACGTATCTTGAAAAGGCACAATCAAGTCGGAATGTAGGTTTCAATAGCCAATGATAAATGCCGAATTTGCATGAAAGTTGTACTACGTAGTACTACTACCGGTACTGTATACGTAGTGGTAGGTAGGTAGGTGTACACACTAACTGCAAAGTCGAAGTCGAACGAGTTTCGTCCATCGCCGCTTTTGTGCACAGCACATTGGACGTGGTACATGTGCACATTAAGGGCACTGCCTGTGTACTACGTGCGAGTGAAAAATGAGGGCCAATATGGGACCACAGGTTACTCTATTAAGTGGCTACTACAACATAGAAGCTGGAGTTGCTTGAGTTTGCCCCATAGGGAAATGCAAGCTTGAATGCAAGAAGTCCATCGATAGTTGGAGGTGGTATCATCACGCGTCAACAATGTAGCAGAATGGTCGCTCACTTACTGGAGTATGAAGCTCGGGGCGGAACGTTTCGTGTGGAGCTTATAGCAGTTACGCATCGGAGGTGTTTACCATCACACATCCAATCGTCGAGGCCACGCTTGTCATCATGGACAAATACAAGAAACTGGAGCGAATTGGCAAAGGTAGCTTTGGTTCGGCTTACTTGGCGGAAAAGCGAGGGGAGCCGGGGAAGCAGTACGTGATCAAGGAGATCCAGATTGACCCTCGGGATCAAAAGGCGGCGGTGAGAGAAGCCCGCCTCCTCGCGGCGTTGGACCACCCAAACATCATTTCTTGCAAGGAGCACTTCATGCTCGCTCCAGGCCAGAAGGTGCTGTGCATCGTCACTGAATATGCCGACGGTGGCGACTTGCGCAAGCTTCTCAAGACATACCACGAGACCGGTACCCTATCCACCACATCACGTCCTCATATCTGACGGTGTTTGTATTGTCGTAGGTCGGCGGCTAAGCGAAGACCTCGTGCTCGACTTGCTCGTGCAGACGTGCCTCGCCTTGAAACACATCCACGACCGCAAAATCCTCCACCGCGACGTCAAGCCAGAAAACATCTTCCTCATGCAATCGAACGTCGTCAAGTTGGGCGACTTTGGAGTCGCCAAGGTCCTCAGCAACACGTTAGCCTGCGCCGATACCCAAACGGGCACTCCGTAAGAAAAACGTCCGCTGCCGAAACGGATGGTCACGGTGTGAGTTGTAGGTACTACACGTCGCCCGAGATCTGCCATGGCCTCCGCTACAACCACAAGACGGACGTGTGGAGCCTTGGCTGCGTGTTGTACGAAATGATCACTCAAACGCATGCATTCGATGGCCGGTAGGGCCAAGATCGTCACGCAATATCCACACTAATTGGGATGTCACTATTTGTTGTCGTAGGAACCAAAAGCAATTGTTTCAAAACATCGCGTACGGGGCGTTCGACACGACGCGACTGGACCATTGCACCATGCGGCTCAAGCAATTGGTGATTGCGATGCTGGCCAAGACGCCTCGTGATCGTCCGAGCATCAACGGCATCCTCAAGACCCCCCTCGTTCGCGATCGCATCCAAGTACGTTCAGATCCTATACCTTGGACGAACCATCCAATATCCCAAGCCAGCAATAAACACATTGCACACTTGTGTGTGTTTTGTAGACGTTTCTATCCGCCCAGGAAATGCAAGACGAACTGGGCCATACCGTGCTCCATGGTCAGCATTTGTTTCGAAAGCCACCGTCCAAGGCGGCCACGAGCCCCCGTGCGATGAAACATCCTCCTCCGCCCCCGATTGCCATCGTTCGACCGATCGTCGTGCGAGTAGGACTGTCTTTTACGATATGTTTGGAAGGAGTGGGGCGAAGATGACAGTGGCGTAGGAGCGTCAACCCCCCGTGGTCCGCGGGTATGCAGCCCCCACGGCCGCGATGAAGCAGCGCGGTGATGCCATGGCGGCCAAGAAAGAGCGAGTGCAGGCGCTTGTGGCCAAACAGCGCGAACTGGCAGAAATGCGGCTGGTCCAAGAAAAGAAGGCCCGGCTGGCACGGAAGCAGGCCGAGGTGGACAAGCGCAAGGAGGTTCGTCTATTTGGCAACGTGCCATGATCGTTCAATCTTCATGGGGGATTAGGGGGTTATACCGGTCCAAGGACGACAGCGATCGCCTCCTAAGGTATAAACACATACGAAAATGATGAGGAAGGATTTAGCGTCATGTAGTCGCCACCAGAGGCAGCGGCGGTCTTGCAGGCAAAGCTGGAGGTAAGCAATGTTGGAAGTTGTCCAAGTCCTTGAATGCTTGGTGCAGGCCAAACGACGCCAAATGCTGGAGCAACAAGCCGTGCGGGACCTTCCTGTGGTGCCTCTCAAGGAAGGACGCGAACGACGTGTAGACGATCGCGACGCTGGCCGATTGAAGATGGCGGAAGATATCAAGGAGAAGAAGAAATTCCTCAAGGACATCCAACCAAGCGACAACGACCCGATCATTCTCGTCCAAGCACTCAAGCGGCGCAATGACGACGAGGATGCCAGCGCCACGTCACAGCTCCCCCCTGCGCCAGAATTGGCTCATACAATGGTACCCAAAGTCGAAGCTATCTTTGCACCGGATACAATCAACTTCAACAGCACCGGTTTGTATACGCATTTGAACGATCACCACGAACTTTATTTATTTGGGCTCACGTAGTGGGGTCGCCCACGCATGCTGCAGGCAGTTTTCAGGAGCTGTCGTTTGCACAATGCCTCAAGGAAGCTGCGGCTCCAGTCCAGTCGCCGGCGGTGGAACCCCCTCCTCCAGCTGCTGTGTCCCCCCACGACATAGTGATCGACACCGATGTCATCACCGACGCAGGTCGAGACGTGCCTCTTGCCAAGCGTAGCCTCGAATACGAGCGGATGTTGCTTCAAATGAAGAGCGTCATGGAGGACAACTTGGCCGAAGAGCCTAATGACGACGAGGAAGAAGGGCGAGACGACAATGCTGCCGATTTAACTGCGGAGGTAGTACGAGCATAACCTAGCAAAATTCATGTAGACGTTGAGCGTAGAGCGGAGATGACACGCGATTGAGCAAGCTGGCGGTGCTGCAGCTTCCTGCATTTCAGGCAGCGTTGAAGGCGCGGTGGGACAGTAGCCACCCCCTCCAGCCAGAAGAAACGCGGGAGGCCGCGGGAACGAGTCTGTTATCGGCAGGGCACATGGAGGACGTAACGTGGCTGTGTGCGTACATGCACGCTATCGTCCATGGCGGCGCTGCAGCGGATGGTGTGTAGCAGATCAGATGACAACGACACACCCTCGACTCTATATTCACATTTACACGACTACAAAATTGGGCACTAACTACTTACTACACACTGGACAATGGATATGAGGAACTACTACTACTACTACTACTACTACTACTCGGAATGGCGCTTCGACCACCCCGTGTATTTGTACGGACTCGAGTTCCCACCCGCGGACTTGACTTCCATGTGCACCAACTGCTCCAAGCTGGCCGGGGGCGCCGTCAGGTCTGAGTATCGGTACTCTTCCTCGACGATCCGCTCCGACGGCACCTGGCTCGAGATGGTGCGGCTGCGACGGCGCAGCGGCGGCGGCAATAGCTTGATCCGCTCCTCGTAGTCTTCCGAGATGACCTGCATCTTGCGTGCGCCTTCGAGGTTGAGCGGGGTGTTCGAGTCGAAGGCGCTGAGGTGGCCGAGCTTGAGGGATTTGTAGATGGAGCGCAGGTGGAAGTAGTACTTGGCGTACGATGCCGCGGACACGCGCACGTTATACTCGACACAATCCAGGTACAGCAGTTCCAGAGCGTTGATCCGGCGGAGGGGGAAGTTTCCATGGAAGATCTTGGAGAAGTCAGCGTTGCACATGCTCAGGTCGTCCCACACCTTGGACGCCATCACCATCGAGCAAAACACAATCGATTGCCAGTTGGTCGGGGTCAGTTGCAGGCCCTTGCCTGTGGCGGCTTGCAGCAGACGCTCCACGTAGATCAGGCCCATGATGATACATTCGCTTTCCATTTGCGCGGTGCGGTAGATCTGCGTCATGAACGCCACGATGGCGTCGACAGACGGAACATCGAACGACATGGACGACGACGGCGCTTGAAACCCGAGGAAGCGCGGATCCATGGGGAGTGGCGCGGCGGTCGATTCAAGGATGTGACCATGTAACACCGTGGCGACACAGAAAAACGTAGTGGTCTGGTCGGGTTTGTTCATCGTGCCCATGCGCACGAAGATGGAGTTGGTACTGTTCGACCGCATGCGCTGCGGTTGCGGCGGCACAGTAAATTCGTCCGACGACTGATGGAGGTTGGTGGGAAGCATGCCTAAATCAGACTGTCTTGACGCGTAGTAGGCAGTGTGCGGTGACACGATTTCTTCGGCGATTGGCGACGGAATGTCTTTGCGCATGGACGCAGTCGCCGAAGACGTGCGCGGAGTCGCGATGCCATTCAGCATGGCGTCAAACATGTCCTCCTTGGCCGACAGCGTGCGGAACAAGCGTGGGGGGCCGCCGGTTTTCGGCGGCCGGCCGCTGTCCCTGTTGGTCTTCACAGCCTGCTTGGGGACAACTTTGTCATGGCAAGGCGACGACGAGGACGAGCGGTGGTTGGACTCGTCCACGGCGGTGGGGGAACGCATCATCTTGCTTTTGATGTTATGTTCCATCATGCGAAAGAACTGCGACGCCGCGTCCTTTTCCTTTTGGATCAGCGCCGCGGGTTTCTTCCATGTGGTCTCGCGGGTGACGGGATGGTAGTAGTACGGTCGGTTGGAGCGGGGGTCATGTGCTACCTTCCATTCAGCATCATCGGCAGGCACCTGGTGGGTGTTCATCGTCACTAGGGAAGCAGGCGTCACGGCGGCGACTTGCTGGACGGACGTGCACGACGATGGGAGAATGGTATACTGGGATTGGGCCTCGTTCTCATTGGTGTGCATCCTGATGACGACAGGTGCGATATTGCCAGTGCCAGTGAATCTGGTTGGCAGCTTCTGATTGGCTGAAATGGTTCCATTCGAATTTTAGCCAATCCAGTGCCGTGCAATCCCTACAAAGTGCCAGTCCCGTCCCATCCATGAAGTCACCACCGCCAAGAAAGTACATGCATTCACATTGTCAGAGGCCGAGCGAGGATAAATGTACGGGTACCAGATTGACTTTTTGAAGCCAGTGTCATTCAAACTGCACCGATTACACATTGCACTGATGAGGGCTTTGTTCGTGGAAGAAGCTTCGGGGCACCAGATACACAATCGCAGGCGGCAACATTGAAACGTTCAATAGAATTCCGGTCATTGTCGACGAAGACTCGAGTATGTACCGGTAGCTCGAAAAGCAATATGTTATGCCTGTGCTTGTCGTGTGAAAAGGGATGGTGCGTCGTACTAGTATACGTATAGCATGCATGCAACCAGCAAATGGTGACATTTCATTGCTGTCAGCTCACAGTCAACCCTGCAATGTGAGGAATGTGAATAATTATTGGACATTTGAGTTTCAACACCTTGTGCCAAGCACGTTCTACACATGTATTGTGACATGAGTGATGTCGATCATCATCTTCTGTGAAGAGGCACCACGCACCCATATGCACGCAGGACACAAGATATCCTTAGTCGGCAAGGATCAGAAAGAAGAATGGGCAAGGGTCCGTTCATGGGCTACTGTAGTTAGTTACACTCCAAAGATGGCAATCATATTCTAGAGGGTCAACTGGTCGGGTTCCAATATTTCATCAGATTTCACAGGTGAGCTTCTAGCCCAAAACCGGTCGACTGCATATTCCACTCATGGGATTACTGTACTACAACTCGATGCTATTTGGTTTTTTGTGCACGGGATGGTGGTCGACTTCTTCAAACGATTCGTCATCATCATCATCGTCGTCGTCGTCATCGTCGTCAAAATCTCCGAAATGAGCTGGCGGCGGGTCGTTCCCCAGAGGCGTCGATGGGTCGTCCTCACCTCCAACCGTCACGTCCTGGGGCGTTTGCGGTCCGTCGTCGTCGCCGTCCTCTCCCTCTTCTTCCTCCTCGATCACATCCTCATATTGAGCACTTGCGCTGTCGTGGACTTCCTTGGCTTCCGCGGCCAACTCGCCACCCGCGTACGAAAACCGATCAAAATGCTTGGCCCGCGACGCGCTCGGGGAGTTGGGCATGTTGACCGGCGAGTCGGGCATCAATTCTTCGCGCGCTTCTCGTGTCTTGGCGATCGCTCGGCTGTGCAACATATGATCGATCATATTCTATCTCGATTCCCACATCTTATATACAACAATTACCTCAAGCAGCTTTCGGGGGTTACGTCTTCCTGGCGATGCGGCGGCCGGGGCACGTCGACGGTTTGCGCCAAAAGACCAGCCCAGTCGACGTCGTTGAAGAAATCGTGCGATTTGATTTCCTCGGCACCCGTCGGACCCGACCCAAGGCGGGCGTTCGGGTCCTTGTTCAACAATCTCGTCACCTACACATGGACGTCCAATGTGAATCATATGTAGTCGCCAAGTGGGAAGGTCGTCGGCATCGGTGAACAATACATGGTCGTCAAATGTTAATAAGCAAGTGTAACATCAGGTTTGTTTACCAAGTCCTTGGCCTCGGGCGTGAAGCGTTCGGAGAAGACAGCTTCGTCGGAAAGGATCTTCTCGAACAAGACCGCCGGGTTCTGATGGCGGAACGGCGAGTCTCCCTGCACCATTTCGTACATGAGGATGCCAAACGCCCACCAGTCCACGGCCGTGCCGTACGGTTGCTTCATGATGATTTCCGGCGCCAAATATTCGCACGTGCCCTAATATAACATCAATACCAACCCATGCGTTTGAATTTAAATGCATATATATATATATATATAGTCAAACATATAGGACAGTGTGTACATATAAAACATGGATGTATCAAGTTGAATAATAAATTAATATTTTCATACAGAGCCATACAATGAGAGAAGAGTATATATTGTATTGTCAAGTCGATTTGAAATTGGAGAGTTTGGGTGGTCAATCAAATGAGAAGCGCCGCCGAATCGGCAGAGAATCGATCGACCAATCAAAACCCAGAACATGAGTCAAGTAGCCAATCAAACCCACTCTTCGACATCTTCAACATAAAATTAGTGTGTGACTTAAATTAGTGTGACACTGAGCGAATTTTACATACAAAAGTCAAGAATCGATCGATGATAGATTTGGCGAATCAGCACAAAAGTGAGCCAAATTTTGGGTAAAAGAAACACAATACCACAAACGAAGACGCGCGGCCGGTCTCCTTGTCCACTTCTTCCTTGGACAGCCCAAAGTCGGTGCATGCGACGTTGCCGTCGGCGGTCAGCACGATGTTCTCAAGCTTCAAGTCTCGGTACAGAATGTTGGACGCATGCAAGTGGGCAATCGCGAGCAAAATCTGCAGTCAATGTATGAGTACCATCATTCCCATCATAACGCCATCACAAAGCGCACCTCGGCCAGGTAAAACCGAGCGCGCTTGATGCTAAAGCGGCCGCGGCGGCGCAGCACCTGGCGAAGGGACCCGCCGCTGTAGTAGTCCATGACCATGTACAGCTTGTCGTTGTTTTGGAAGGCGAAGCGCAGTTGGACAATGTACGGATGGTTGGCTTCTTGCAAGATTCGGCGCTCCGCCATGGTCTGCGTCACCAGGTCCTTGTTCATGACCCAATCCTTCTTGAGCACCTTCATCGCGTACAACTTGGAGCTATCCTTCTTCTGCACGAGCAGCACCGTCCCACATGCGCCCTTGCCGATCACACTCACGAGCTCAAAGTCGTTGACGCTCATCTTGCCGGGGATGCTGCTGTCGACAAACACAGAGTCCTTCTCGCCGAGGCGGACGGCGCGCGGGCGGGACCACGACACCAGGCTCGGCAGCACCCGACACGTCAGGCACAGCCGCACGCTGCCCTCGAGCTTGGTCGATTCCATCGAGCTGCACTTTTCACACACTACCGACGCCCAGTCAACCAAAACTCATTGTCGTCCTCCCATGTTGTTCGTACCAGGCATCTGGCAAGTTCGGCAATGGCGCCGCCACCGCCGCATGTTGAACGCTTGCTTGCACACGTAGCACCCCTTCTCCATACCCGTCGACACGTTGGACGTCCGGAAGCCAGCATACCGCGCGCGGAAAGCTATGCATGCATTCACCCATGATGGAAGCAGTGAGGCAAAAACGAATGACGAGAGTTTGGTGGCGGATATGAATGTATACCTGAAAACACCGAGTGCAGAACAGACTGCAGCACTTCGACGTCCGAACCATCGTACCCGGCGCTCAGCACCACACATCCTGCTTCATGCTGCCAAAGACGGTGAGTGACGTTCGTTGTTGGATTGTTTGTTAGTCGAAAGTATTGTACTATCTTTATTCTAAACTCGAGTGACATGGAGATTGAATCGACGCAACCAAATTAAATGCACAGAAGAATCGTCGGCAAAAGGATTGAGCCAATCAGATTGCTGGAAACCATCACCGACATCGAATTAGTGTGTGAGAATTCATTTAGTGTGATTAGATGATTAGAATCGCCACAGGACACCTTTTGACATAGAAAATTTAGTACACAGAATCGATCGATAGATTTAGCGATTCAGCACAAAAGTACGAAATTTGGGTAAAAGAAGTACAGTACCTCTTTGTGCTTGAGGCGCGAGAGTTGAGGCTCCATCGACGACGCGTAGTGAACAGCCCACTGCGCCATCGTCTTGCGCAGGAGATAAGTGTCGGCAGAGTCCACGCGGTGCGTCGACTGGATGAACGCGATGCCGCTGAGTAAGCGGCGCATCTCCGGCAAGTGCGCGCGCAATGTTTCGACGAGCAATCGGCCGCCTTCGCCGTAGCACACGATGAACGCGTGAGATGCCTGGGACGAGTCGATGTGGTCGCGCCAGCCCGTGATGAGGCGGGTCGTGGCCACTTGCAGCTGCGACATCGTTAGGGTCAACACACAAAAACGGGGGGGAGACACATTACCATGGACGCGCCGTCGGAGTCGTCGGGCATTTGAAAGATGTCGTCAAACACGACGATCCCAAACAGATCGTCTCGAGCGCGAAGCAAGTAGGGCAACATGGAGCCGAGACTGCCGTGGTGGATGCCGCCGCCTGGACATGTTCCCATGAGCCCCAAAGGAGAAAGATGGAAAGAGAGAGAAACGGCGTGGACGAACCTCCTGAGCCGGACCGAACGCACAGCTTGGAGCTCCAAATACCGGCGGGCGACCCGACGCTGTCGCCGATGAACACGACGACGCGGTCGGCTTGCGCGACATTTCGAGACAAGAACACACTGCACTCGATGGACGGGTCTTCGCAGGGACTGGTATCGCGGTAGATATCGAGCATCTCGATCATCTTGGCTTGGACGTTCTTCGTCGCCGACTCGAGAAGGCCCCCCGCCGGGAGGTACGGCTCTGGAGGTTCCGTGTACGAGGACGACCCGACCAACGTTGTGGGTTTCTCCACGCGGGTCATCGAACCAGAGTGTCGATCCGACGATGTACCTCGGGAGACTCGATTCTGAGGTGACAGGATCATCTCGTCGTCGTCATAATCGATCGAGTCAGAGCGTCCCGAAGTCCCTGGCGGACTGCCGTTCGAATGCTCTAACTGCGAGTTCGGGCCGCGATTGAAGAAGCTTGTGACGGACGTGACGGACTTCATACCAGCCAGCGCCACGCTCTTGCGCTTGACGGCATCGCGGATAGCGCCGATCTTGTCTGGCAACCCTGGCATCATGATTGACACACGAGGACTTTGGAAAGGCGAAACGTGGGAGAGCCGTCGACATTTTCTTGGTATTATAATAACGGAATGTTTGTATAACACTTCCACCCATTTTTATTTTATTGCATTTTCATTGACCATTGTAGCAGTCACTTCGATATTGAACATGACGATTGTTGGTCGTCTGAACGACCAACACATGCATGATATCATGGGTACGATGGGCACTTCGCGTGATACAGTGTACTACAGTACTGTATGTAGTGGGCGGCATCATACTCAACCAACCGAAGCAACGTCGGCGTTCACGTTCACATTATGTACAGTGCCCCTGGCTCTACGCCGTGTCGAGCTGTCTAATGGAAGAACCAGTCGCCACATACCGTACTTGCACATAAATGATAACCCAAAACTCAACATTCCCTGGCTAAAGTTACAGGAAGTGTACTATATGTAGTACTGTAACGTTACATCGACATTTTTACCTTTAGATTTCTTATTCATACGGGCTGTCTGGATGCCACCCACCCACTCATAAAATTATGCCATAATCCGGTTTGGCAAGTCTGCAAAAATTTCCCAAAGTCTCATATCCCATGAAAAAATGGAGAAAAGAAGAAATATTTACAAAGTTGCCAGTTCAATTATGGGAAAATTATTCGGGAACAGGAGATCATCTCATCCTCCCCTTAAAAATAATTTATACTACGTAGTAACAAATTGTATATTTATGTTTTATATAACCTTAAATACTGTATCATTATGTTATGTACTTTTTTTAAAACTTATTCTACGATTTGTATTATAATTTTAAAGTTATACTCCGGAGTATATACAAAAGAATTCAGGGTGAACACAAACCTCCATAAAAAAGTTGGACAAAATCCTTATAGGTCCATTATATTTATGCCATAAAACATCCGATTCTCAAGAAAATTGTGGCATAACGTTTTGAACTTTGGTGGCATCCAGACATACGAAATCTCGAAAGCCGTGATACAAAGTAAATAAAAATATCATTTAGGGCGGATGCCACATCAAATTGCCGTTTTTCGAAGAAAAGTTGGCAAAAAATCGAAATATTCCATTTTCCTCAATCGTCTGGGTAGTACGGGAACACTTTGTAGTTGGCCACGTCGGGCAGGAGGGTGCCGTGGGCGTCGTAGTGCGCCACAAAGTAGCAACTGTCGCAGTAGTACATGGGGTCATCGACCCCCATGGCGTCTCCAAACGTGACGAACTTTGCCATGTGTACCTGGCACACCTGACATTGCACATGAGCGAACGTGCTGTAACTTGCATCTTTACCAGGCACTTTTGGTGGTGCTGCCGCCTGGTCAGTCGCATGGGGTACTCGTCCGTACGTGGGTCGTCCATGGTGTGGAGCAGACGAATATTGCGGATGAACATGATGTGTTCGCACTGGCCAAGATGCAGAAACAGGTACGGCGTGTCCAGTTGGAGTGCCAATGCACTCAACGTCGCGCGTTCCATCGACATGGACGTCGTGTCGTACCCTGTAAACGCATAAGCGCGAGAAAGAGAAGGATTGATATGTAGGGTGGGTGGTGACCAGGGTAGTCAAGTTGAAGCGCTGGAAATTTCTGAAGCCACTGGCGGACGTCGTTCGAGTAGTCGACGTGGTGCGGCTGCCGCTTGTCGACAAAAAACTGGCCGGCCATGTACATCATCTTCGAGTGCAGCCCAAACTCTTTGAGGTACTCATAGTCGCGGCAGTAGATGGCATCTGCTAGTGCGGTCAACGGCGTCGACCCCAACACCAGCAGGAACTGACTCTTCTTGGACGCGAGTGACGGGTGCATCACTTCCAGGAGATACAGCGAGTCATGCAGTAGGTCTACAGGGGATTCCTATGGTTGCATGCAGTCGCTGTTGGCCAACCAGTATGCAGAGATCATTCACCTCGCACCTGCATGCCAGCGGCAGATTTGGCGGCAAACATCCACCCGGGAATCGGAGGGTGCTCAACCAGGGGCCCCTTTCGTGTGTGCGGATGCGCGTCGAGAAACTATGGAGGGACCGTGGGATCTCAAAGGACGCGAAGATGGTTCTTACTTGTTGGACCAATGGACAAGGGCGACGAGCAGCCAAGCATTCGTCCTCTGTGACCAGGTCACGGAAGATGCCCTGGATCTTCTGGTCGGTGACGTCCGTGGTGGGTTCGTCTTTCAGCACAAGGCGCGCGATCTTCTGGGTGGCTGCGCGCTGTTGCGTCACGCGAAGCACTTCCATGGTACTGATCGGCAACAACTCTTCCCACTTGGCTAGCGCTCCATCAATGGACTGTTGAATGGCATCCTTTACGCTAGGTAGTCGTATGTCGTCCACACTGATGTCAACATCACAGTCAGCATCGTCGTCTTCATCCGTGGTGAACTGAAGCGACGGAAACGCCGCATGCAGGTGTCTTGTCGCTTCATCTTCGCTTGGCGGCGACCATTCCATCAGATGGACCAACTGAAATGGGGGGTAGGGTCAAAAGTGAAATATATTAATACTTCGAACTAATTAAATGGGATAATACTGAAGAGAGTCGCTTTATGTTTTATTTTTATTTTGGGGTACCCTCCATTCTCATCAAATGCACTTGCAACTGCCCGTCGTGGTTGCGCTGCTGCTGGCACAGGCAGCGCATGCCGTGAAGACTCGGTATTCCCATCGCTTCGAGTATGAAGAGTTCATGTCTGCGCGATTGAACTCCGATGGTATGGCAGCACGATGGAACTCGCAGTGTCCAGTGCTAGAGTTCGGCATGGAAGTCGGCTCCGAGTTGATCTTCTCCGTCGAGCACGCCGACGCGCCCGTGACGTTTTCGCTCTTCAACTACGATCAATGGGCAGCCTATCGCTCGCTGCTCTTCGACGTCATGTCCCTGGAAGGGCACAAGGAAACCCTCGCCATCACGTGCATGCATGCCGCGACCACTCGCGTCGTGTTCGACCCCAACGTCGACGCACCCAACACAACATTCAAAATTCAAATTGCCACAGCGAGCCAATACACGTTCCAAGTAGCAAGCTGTACGATGCAGCACAACCTCGTCAACGTACGTTTGAAATGTCGTTACCCTGTATCCAACTCCTCCTTCAACGTAGGCCTCCATTGCGATGGTCAATTTGGGCTCGGACTACGCCTTGAGCGAGCATTTGGGTGTGGAACAACTGGGATTAATTCCTCTCTACAGTGGTATTCCAACTCGTGGTGTATCTATATTCATCTCAAGTACATGTGTGTGGCTAGTCCTCGTGGTGCTGTACATCGCGGGCACGGCCACATGGGTCGCCGACAGCGTGCGCCACCGACCTTACACTCCAGTATGTACACGACTAACTCGTATTTCCTTGTCTTTTTTTGTTTTTGCCATGTACCCATAAACCCCGTATTTACCGTACCTTTGCACCATGTAATTCAATTTGAGCAGTTCATGTTAATATTCGAATTGTTTGATTGATTTGAGATAATTCCATTGAATTATTGGAGATTCGGTATGAATTTCCGGACCCCGTTCAATCGAATCTCTCCCATTGGTCAATCCGAAATTGCTTGTCGCTGATTGGCTACAATCCATTTTCGAGTTTCTACTGGAAAGGGCGAAGTGGATAATGGCCAATCAGATGTCTCGGCTCTGTTTGTGCTCGATTGTGAACGAACCATGCAAAATTGGGAAATTTGAAGAAAATCGACAATACATGTAAAACAAATATATATTCACGTTTTACATATATTTCATGATACGGAGCATCAGCGATACATACGGTAGACATGACACATTGGTCGTAGGCGATCAACGTTGTGTTTGCGGTGGCGCTTGTCGGGGAAACCTCCAAGTGCATCGCCAAGGTAAGAAAATCCTAGCGACTTTTTTTCTCATACTAGTCGTGCACGCATACTAAACACTTGTGTGGGTAGTTGGTGTTTTACAAGGCGTTTAGCGTGGACGGCTTTGAGCATTCGGCGTACGCCACCGCTCGGAACGTCTGCGACAGCGTCACCAGCACCGTGTTCCTGACGTTCTTGGTGCTGTGCTCCATGGGGTGGTCGTGGTCGCGCCGACCTCTGACTCGATCAGAGCGCCGCTTTTTCATCGTTTTATTTCTCCTATACAGCACTGTGTCCGTCATCAAAGCCACGTGCAATGGCCAAGACGTGACGTGTCAGTCGTACATGGTACAGCGACGCCGTCGTCTACATATAGAGTTGATCTCCTTTTGGTAGCTGACGGAATACGCACTCAAGAGCCTCGTGTTGCTGGGGGTCATCGTCACGCTGAATTACTCCATCTCGCGGCTGCAAGTCCAGTCGGGCGGCATGCGATGGCAGCAGAATGACAACGTACCCCAGCATTACGCCCATCTCGAGCGCATGTGGTTGGTACCTACAACATCCGGATGATTCGTTTACGATAAATATGGATGGCCAGAATTCTTGCTCGTGTTTTTCTTATGCACAAGTTGGATGTTGGTATGGTAGGCACTTTCGACTGTCGCTGGTGGCGTACTTGGTCCTGCCTAGCGTTGTCGTGTTGTTGAACGTAAGCCCCCCACACTTGTCATGCATAACTAGCTAGTACTAGAGAGAGCTAGTGTATATTATATTTACAAGCGGTACAATGCATGTAGGCTGGAGTGGTCAACCCGCCAGGCACGTGGCGAAACTATTGGGTGAGCTGCCTCAACGAAGAACTGTTCCTGGTCGGTGTTTATTGTCACATGGCGTACACGTTGCGGCCGATCTCGCCGGCGATGTTTCAACTGGTAACGTCTCGTCCACAGTGTCATTTGATGTCATTCTATGAGGTGCCCCTCATTGTAGCTGGACAAACAAGCAGAGTAACAAAGTGCAAAGTGCCGTTGGGAGGGTTAAATAAGTGTACTATGTGTGTTGTCAATTGCCCAGTTCGTTGGGTTTGAACAGCAAAGCGGCCGAGATGCGGCGGCGGATGCTGTTGTCTTGCAGCTGGACAATCGAATGACACCGATTCGTGGTCATGAACTTGCACTTGAACGTGCCGACGACGGGGATGTCGGCATCGCTTGCCCATATCGCCAAAATGTCGGGCACGTCCTTTTCGTCCAGCGCAATCTCCATGAGACTGCCCTCTTGTGCATGCGCCAATTGCAGCAAAATCGACGCCACATAGCGCTGATCGTGCTCGGCCAGATTCAGTTCGTACTTGCCGCACGGCGAAATAGGGTTGAACACCTAAAACACGATTACATTAGCAAACAAGTGCATACGGGGCTGTTGACATTAGTTATACCAACAGGTACAGTAAGTAAGTACTTCATCACACCTTGTAAGTAATAAAACGGTACGTTATCACATTTGTACCAACACCAAAGACTTCTGTACCTGCACAATGCCCACGCGGTCGATGAGTTTTTTGCGGCTGGTGCTGTCCAACACGCTAAGCGCGTCGTTGAAGTTGACTTCGTCGACAATTCGTCCCAAGAGAATGACAAACACTTCGAGGCGCACCACGACGTTGTTCATCTTTTCGTACGGGCTAAAGTACTCCATGAGTCGCTGGGCGTGGCGTGCGGTAAAGTAGTACCTACACACCAGAACGAATCAATCCCATCGATTGGCACGACATAATCCGTACACGACATCACAACACGTCGTACCGATTTGAAATCGCGCGCAATCCGACGAGTTTCATGTCGGGGATGGCTTTGAATTCTTTGAAAAACTGCTCAAACGCGGCGTCCGTGATGGGGATGGCGCCATGGGGCGGCCGTCGGGTGACGACAAAGTCAAACTCCAGCACGCCAAAGCGAGGCAGCGCCCACGACGAGTCAAACACGATCGCCTTGTGGTTGTACCTACCGTATATGAGATACAGTGTCGTTTGTACGAACTGCTCCATGGTGGTGTCCATGCAATTTGTACCTGGCGTTGCGAAACCCGTTGTTCGTGGCAAACTGCGACACGTCGGGCAGCTTGTTGGAGACGCGGAACTTGCGGTCCGCGGCATTCGCTTCGATAAGGCAAAACATAATTCGCCGGTCCACAAAGTTGGACATGTTGAGCCGATAGAATCCCGTCGGGTTGGCCGGGTTGAACGCGATCCACTTGCCCAGCTTTTGCTCGACGTAGCCTTGTTCAATCTACGGACACGTTCACTTGATTTCATTCAAGGAATATGAATACTGTACCTGAGAGAGGTTTGTGAGCCCGACCAACACCGTGATGTCGCCGCAAACGTCGATCTTGCCGTCGTTGTCCTTGTCTTCGAAGAAAACGCCGCCAATGGGTCCTGGACACCCCATGTAGTTTTCATCGTCGATGGTATGGTGCTCGGAGTTAGAAATGCGCGGGATGAGCGCGACGGCGGCCGACGCTTTCTCCGCTTGACACGTCGTGCTCTCGAACAGCTTGAGCAGCGCGTTGGCTTGTTTGACCGTGACGCAGAAACCATCGGCGAGAATCTTGATCATGGTCATCTTCTTGTAGTCATCTAACGCAAACGACGACCCGATCAGCTGCTTGAGGCGCTGGAACGGTGCGTCCTTGAGGTGCAAGTCCGGGCACGACTCGTCGTCCTGCGTGGCCAAGAGCGTGAGCGTGCCGTGGTTGGGCACTTGGCCCTTCTCCGCCTTGGCCGTCGGGGGGAGTGGCAGCTGGCCCTTGGTGAGCGTGATAGGGCGATCGTCGTGGAAGACGTTGGACAACACGAGGCGGTTCTGGGCGTACATGACCAGCAGTTCCTTGAGCACAAACGTGTCGCTTCGGTCGTCTAGATTCAGCGTGTACGGCCCCGTGCAGTACGTGTGGCTGTACAGGTACTCTTGGATGTCGATGTTGCAGTCGGCGACTTCCCACTCGCACTTCATCGATGACGACGCCATCGCGTACAAGATGGCTTCGACACCCGCCGTGCCGATGGGGTTGCTGCCCACGTTTAGGTGTTCCAGTGTCGTGTTCTTGGTGCACAAGTCCACAAACACAAAAATCGACCGTCCTTTGATGTGGTTGTTGCTCACGTTGAGTCGCTTGAGCGTCTTATTTTCGAGCAAGCTCGTGGCGAGGTGGATATCGGCGCCCCCGGAATTCCCCAGCGAGTTGTCCGACAAGATCAAGTCGAGCAGCGTGTTATTCTCGACCATCGCCTGCACCAAGTGAATTGCGGGGTCGCCTCGGATTTGATTCCAGCTTAGATCGAGCATGGTCAGCGAACTCTTGACCCGCAGGAGCTCGCCCACGATCGTCGCCGAGTGAAACACCTTGTTGTGACCTAAATTGAGCGTGGTGAGGGTGCACCGCTTTAGCAGCGCACGGACGAGCGCCGTCACGCTTTGGTCGCCGAGGTTGTTGTTGCTCAGGTTGAGCACCTTGAGATGCAACGCCGCGTTGTCCAACACGGCGTTGAGCTTCATGTACCCCTTCACCCCCACTTTGTTGTGCGACAGATTCAGCTCTACCAGGTCGTCTTTGACCACGCCCCGCACCACCGCCGCCGAACCCTGGCCGGTCATGCCTGCGTCCGTCATGCAAATGGACGTCACTTGCACGGGAAGCAGCTCCAGCGCGTCGCCCATCGCCTCGGCGCGCTTGTCGCCGAGAAAGTAGTTGCTATAGTGCAGCTCGCCAGTCTCGGTGTACCGGGGCACCGGCTGCTTGGCCAGGCGAAGGTCAAACACGGGTAGAGGCAGCAGGGCTTCGTCTTCGCACCGCCGAATGTACCGCCCTCGCGACGAGTCGGGCCGGCGCACTTGGTTTGCAGGGCCACTCGCGTAGATGTCCCAGAATTTCGATTGCACGTCGTCACCAAGAAAGTCGTCGGCGGACGCCCCAGTGTAGATGTTGCCTTCCAAGTCCCGCATGCTCGTGCCTGCGACTTGACCCTTGGATATTGTGTCATCGTTGCCAGGACTGGTGGATCCTTCTGCAGACAACGCGTCGACTTCGCCGTCGTCTTCTGTCATGGACTCGAAAGTTTCAGAGGTTGCCGACAAGATCGACGTGTCTGCAGAGACGGTAGGGTCCCCCGCAGGGCGAGTGGGCGCAATGGGGATGGCACCTCCCCCCACCGTCTTGAAGTCGGGGTGCTGAATGAACGCGGAAAGTCGCCTCGTGATCTTGTTCAAGCGGGCGCGGCCGGGGCTCTTGGGGCTTCGCCTAGCCGGCGCACTGGCCACGAGGGTGGCCGCAGCGAAGAGGCGCGTGGACGCCCGGCGGTCAATGACATGCAGATGGTCGTCGCATTTCCTAGCGACGGACGCAGCCGTGTCGGGTGACTTGGGGTCGACGATCGTGTCGGAGGTCTTCCACGACCATAAATTGGCCCGTGGAAACGCCTGTCGCTTCTTCCGATTGCTATTTATGGGGCTTAGGGCAGGCAAGGCCCGCTCGGGGTTGCGGAGATGGTCCAAGCTCATATACGCGTCCAAGTCTCGATCCATCGCCACGCACCCGTCGACATACAGTTACCTTTACCACCGCCGCAGTTGGGCCCAAAATAGACTAAATAACATGACATGGTCTACCCTCATTGATTGCGTATAATCTACTACGTAGTAGCTGATAGAGCTAGTGGATTGCCGACGTGTATTGTACAATGAATGGATACATCCTGCTCGACTTCGTAACATTAGCGCTTTTCAATAAGTGGTTGATTGCTGCGTTGACATGCAAATCAACCGATCCTGGGGTTTCATTCAACCTGGCACTGTTCGCTAAAAAATGCTTGGAAAGAGAGTTAAGGGCAGATCTGGATGCCAAATGGCATAAAATGGCCGTTTTTCGAAGAAAAGTTGCCAAAATTGAAATATTCCATTTTTCGAGATTTTGTGCGTCTGGATGCCACCAAGGACTTTATGCCACAATTTTCTTGAGAATCGGGTGTTTTGTGGAGGTTTGTTTACAGTCAAGTCTTGCACCTCAATCGGAAATCGTATTTTCTTCCAAAATTAAGTGGGTATCCAGACAAATTTGAAGATACTACCTTTTTTTCATGGGATATCAGACTTTGGGAAAATTTTGAAGACTTGACTTTTATGGCATAACTTTATGAAGGTGGCACCCAGACCAGCCCTAAACCTAAATCTAAAAATAATAATATTATATTTAAAATAGAAAATTTGAATAGTCTGCACAGGTACGCTAATACAGTAAACCTACTATACTACATACTTCGAAGTATGTCCAATGTGTGGTACCCATGAGTGCAGTGACCATCAAAAGCAGAGCATATATGTATCTGATGGATAAATCGAGGCGAAAAAGTCCAATTATCGGGGTCAGATTTATATTTGGATTTATTCCGACCTATAAAACCTACCAGTGGGAGAAATAAGTCCGGGTGGTCTACATATATGTATGTATCCAGGGCTATCTGTATAAATCTGAGCTATAAGTCCGACCGGTGGAGTTACTCTAAGGGAGGACGATCTCGTGCTCTATTCACTCGTCGTCGAGCACGTAGCCGTCGTAGTTGAGTCAGTTCTAACTAAAGTATTTCTGCCACTAAATCACACCGCAGCACGTCTGCATTTCGTGCACAAGTGCTCTTTATGATGGTTCTTTATAAGTACGGTTCAATTGGCCTTGTTCTGTCACGTACTTAAACACACCATTGGTGTAAACTATGCCATACTAAATATAAGGTTATATTTGGGCAGTCAACGTGGAATGTTCAGCAGTGCAACGGCAAAAACGGAGTCAACATGGATGGTCCTGATCAGTGGATCGACTGCCTCCGCGGGGGAAAGATTCTGTCGGAGCTGCAGTTGAAGGCCGTGTGTGAACTGGTCAAGGAGATCCTGGTGGAGGAATCCAACGTGCAGCTGGTGTCGAGCCCGGTGACCGTCTGCGGTGATATTCATGGACAGTTTTACGATCTCCTTGAGTTGTTCCGCGTGGGGGGCGAATTGCCGACGACCAACTACGTGTTCATGGTACGATTGCTTCTCCCCATGGAGCTCCCGTCTCATTCCTCTGCGTGTGCCAGGGCGACTTCGTTGATCGAGGACACAACAGCGTTGAAACGTTCGAGATGCTATTGTGCCTCAAAGCAAGGTCCGACTCCCCGCCACAACCTCGTTGCTTGAAAGGCTCATGCGGCACGTCGACCCTCTCATGTAGATATCCAGACCGCATTACGTTGTTGCGAGGCAACCACGAAAGTAGACAAGTCACCCAGGTACCCGCCACACGCTTCATGCTGTCCTTCCCGTCAGCACGTGAACCGTGTCGATGATTTGGCAGGTGTATGGCTTTTACGAAGAATGCGTGCGCAAATACGGCAACGCCAACCCGTGGAAATACTGCACAGATGTCTTCGACTACCTGAACTTGGCAGCCGTAAGCGCCCCCAGTTCCTGCCTCGATTTTCATGCCACCTCGTAGGTCATCGATGGTAAAGTGCTTTGTGTGCACGGAGGTCTTTCGCCAGAGATCCGAACGTTGGACCAAGTATATGCCGTCTACATGACCATCCCCTTCGATCCCAACGTGCATCATGGTGCTGGAATAGGTCCGCACAATCGAGCGTCAAACAGAAATCCCGCATGAAGGCGCGTTTTCCGACTTGATGTGGTCCGACCCAGAAGATATTGAAGCGTGGGCGATGAGTCCTCGTGGCGCGGGCTTTTTGTTTGGGTGGAAAGTCACTCAAGAGGTGGATACGGTCACGTTGACGTTGGACGTGCTAACGTCACTGGATAACGTCAAATGTGTCTAGTTCAACCACCTCAACGGCCTTGATCTCATCTGCCGCGCCCATCAACTGGTCCAAGAAGGGTACAGCTACATGTTTCCAGACAAGAACCTCGTGACAGTGTGGTCTGCACCAAACTACTGCTACCGCGTCGGCAACGTCGCCGCCATCCTCGCCTTTGACGAGCACTTGAACCGCGAGTTCAAACTGTTTCGTGAAGTCCCCGAGTCGTCGGAGCACGCGTCGCATCGCTCGGCCGTGCCGTACTTTTTGTAGTTTCGACTTAGATTAACTTGCAACACGCCCCCCGTTTCGACTACTTAAGCATGTACAATCATCGGCGGCACTTGCACCACCGCCGCCTCGGCCATGTCCGCCGTGCGCACCGAGTACGAGAACCCCCAGCCGTGCCTAGTGTACATGCATTGTCACGACCTGTCATGGCTTTGTGCAGCATGTACATACCCCGCCCCGCCATACACCCCTTGCGCGTTGAGGCACACCATGCCTCCTTTGAACGACGGCACCTTGTCCGCAATCCGTCGCAGCGCCTTCTCACATGCCGCCTTGGGCTACGCCAGCCTTCGTCACAACCAGCATATTGATACCGACGGAACGCACGTACATGCATGCCAGCTCCCATGTCTTGAACTGCCTAGACAAGATGACGATTGTGGAAACGTTGATATACAGCTTGGAGACGAACTTGGTAGGACGGCAGGAACCGCATCATGACGTCGCCGTCGCCGGTAGCCGCCGCCGCGCCTTTGTCGTTGTCGACGTAACACCCCGCCCCTGGTAATGGCGCGTCCCCCACTCGTCTGCGCAGAAGCATTTAGGCTAGCTAGGGACAATCAACATGCCATTATGTACCCCATGATCTTGTGGCTGGCCCCGTTGGAGCTGGTACCGGCTACACGAATCAAGTCAACACCTGCGAGGACAGCCAAGACGGCGGTATCGTCATACCAGCCATGCGCCCATGGGTGTCGAGGGCAATCATGCCGATCGTGTCGTGGTTGTGCTGGTTGATTGCTTGTCTGGGGTCCATATTGGTCGTGACTGTGTGCGGAGGAAGAGGATCGTACGGCGGACACGACGAAGCTTGGCCACGTACGTTTTTGAAGTAGTTCGGTTGGCATTGGTTTTCTTTCCACTGAAGGTACAACTGGGTCGAATACGGCGTGGTCAGCGATTCTTCGTGGAAGCCCATCATCTTTGCGAATGCCAACGCGCCGTCACCCGCCAACACCGAGTGCGATGAATGATGCATGACCTTCCTTGCAACCCGAATGGCGTCTTTGACGCGACGGAGGTACACGACAGACCCCATGGACTGGTCGTGGCCGTCCATAATCATGGCGTCCAAAGTGGTCTCCCCCGAAGTGTCGGGGCTACCACCGTATCCGACTGTAAAGTCACATTGCTGGACCTGCAAACGACCTCAATCATGGAGGAAACGATGGATGATCAAGAGAAGACGCCATGCACCTCGCAAATGTTGCACCCTGCTTCCACAGCGTCCAGCACAGACTGGCCTGGTGTACGGAGGACATCGAAGGCATGGTTCGTCGCAGCAGTAAACGGCCACGTGTTCAGCACAACTGGTGACGGAAGAGTGAATCTGGGAGCGTACACAATCTCACGATGCACGTCTTCATGAAAAGATAGTGGGGCCGCCGCCATCGCCCTGCCACCAAGCCCTGCGCCTTCGCTTGTCATTGCTTTTCCCGTGAACAGTATCTTACTTTACTTCGAAGTATATATTATCCGGATAATTGGTCATGATTGAACATGTATTTTAAACATTTCTAACGTATTATAATACTAGTAAAAGGGAATAAATATTGTGCTACTTCTACTTTCACGAAATAAACTTGTAGCGCTACGGATCGACCAGTGCCATAAAAGCTTGAAAGGCGGCGTTCTCTTCACTTCGTTGTTGCAATAAGCACTTGTGGGCCATTCGAATCATGCTCAACTGGAACCCACGGGACTCGTTGTACGTAGAAAACGCTTGGAAGATGCGACAGACAGCGATCTTGGCACGCGGAGGCAAACAACACTTTTGGACGCAGAGTTCAATGTCGGGGCAGTCGTATACTTCGCTTAGGGGGAGTTCCAAGTAATTCGGGTGAAATATATTGACGAAAACTGAAATGAAACGATAGTTGGTCGAATTATACTGCTGGTTTGGTTGAGGTCGCCACGAAATTAAATCGAGGTAAGCGAAGTATATCGGTGGGCTCGTGAATTATACTGCAAGCAAGCTGAGCGAAATATAGTGAAAAAAAGCTGAAATTAACTGCAAAAAGGTGTAGTAATGGGCATCAAGAACGTGGATGTTGCGTTCACGCTTATTACGGGTCTAACAAAGCGTTCCTGCAAAGGGTTCGAAACCGTTTGCTTCTATTTTATCTTAAAAGTTCAATGGAGTATATTAATAATGTTACTGTAATCATCCACGTCCTGCATCGGGACTCCAGTTTCTTCCTAGTCCTTGTTGTCGAGGAGAGGCTTGCTTTCAGCCTTCTTGCAGTTGGTGTACCCAACGTAGCAGCACAAGGAAAACACGATGTTGCCAATTCCGTCGCCGACAGCTCCGAGGGTCGTGATGGCACCAATCGACCGCACGTACACGTCAAAGACAAAGTAAGGAATCATAAAGATACCAAAGTTGCGGTACGAGGTGCTGTTCCACCGCGTGGACAAGATCGTGAGTCCTCCCAGGGCAGCCTGTGACCCGAAGCACTGCGTCATCAAGAGCAGCGCAGCCGATGGCGAGGCGTTCGACACGAACTCTTTTTCAAAGCCATATTCGTACACCAAACCCGGAAAGAGCATCGTCGCCAACCCCATCGCCGTGAACACGGACCCCATGATCCATTGTTCAGGCTTCATGTTGCGCTGGAAAAAATTGCCCATCGTTTTGTGGTGATTGCAAGTGCAAGGATGATTATCCGGATGTCCGGGCTTTCGCGATGCCTCTGGTACTATTCATGCTTGAAGATATTAATAATCCAAAACTCATTAACCAGAAAAAGCATGGTGAAATAGGCAATTTTGTATGCTGTGCAAGGTGAACCACCTTGCGAATTCCATAAATAATTCTGAAATTGTACAGATTCAATTAAATATATCTTCAAGTTTGTATTGATGATTTTTATTTTTCATGTGTCTGTCTCTTTTTGGAATTCGCAAGGCAGGTCACCTTGTGAATTCAAAATTGTCCAATTTGCCGTGAAATCACGAAAATCGCTGCGTAGATTCATCACACCCTGTTGCGATATATTCTACTCCTGTGATGGTGGTTGATGCAAGGAGCATTGAGATAATTATGTAGGCTGTGTATGAGAGCACGATCATGCGATGTGGTATCCCGGACTCGGTCAATTCGAACAGGTCTAGACTTCAGTAACATCACCACTTGCCTGTTAAATCAATGAATGTGGTCATCCCTCATTCCACCATCAGTCCGTGTCGGTGCTGTACACCTCCCTACTGGAGTAGTCACGTGGTTGCGCGGGCGGGTGGCGCTAGACGTCTTGGTGGCACCCATCGTAAGTGCTGAAGCGCCACTTCAGCACTTGCGATGGGTTCCTACTGTACCAAGACGTCTTGCGCCACCGCGTTGGCCCACCAGAGCCGTCACGGCATTGCGACCCAACCGAGGCCACAGCATAATGTTAGCTGTAAGGCGAGAACCACATTGGATATAGTCGGAGTGAACTCATCAGTGCACAATATTCTCTTGAGCAGCATCACACAAAGCTCTACAAAATTCAAACAGTTCAAAATTGTAACCTCGTCTGCCAGTATTATAGCCAATCGTGTGTAAGAAGCAAGGTGTGATGGACTCTGATTGGATATTAAAAAGGAGCAAGGTGGCTCGCCTTGTGAATTCCATTATCATGCTTGAAGTAACGTTACCGGTACTGTATTGCCTTGACCTTCATTCCGAGTTCGTATCGGTACTAGTATGGGTGAATAAGATCACTTTACACCGTTCGTACAATTTCAGTCGGACATACTTGATTTTTGTATTGGACTTAAGGGGAACATATTTTGTCCTAATGAAATTGTCCGAGCGGAAAATATTCGGACATACTTGTGTACTAGTATACACCCGCATAAGAACGATGAGCTTTACAGTAGCGAGCGACGACAGAGCATCCACCCACAAAATTGCGCTCACCGCAGCGTAGCGGACGTCTTGTGGATAATTTGTGCAGGCGGTGCCTTGGCGAGGAGTGAGCCCCAATCGTGCACTTCACCGAATGTCCAATCGATTCCTCTTGTCGGGAAAAGCGGCAGGTAGGCCGCAGGCCGTGCCGCTACCCGGACAAGGCCTGTGGTACAACTATTCGCATTTAATGCGTAAATCCACTTAATTGCGTGTCCGAAGCACATATCCTGCAAATATTTGTCCGAGTCGTTATGGATAGATAGATAGATATATTGTAGTCAATATTCCGACCGAACTTGAATAAAGTATTGCGCTTAACATCCAATTAGAGGCATCGATTTCATCTCGAAGCCAATAAGAGTTAAAAGAGATATATATTTATCCAATCAAAGTGTAGTTAAAATTATAAATGGGAGTTCCGACATATTTGGTCGGAACGGCCTTGGAAATATAAATATATCAATACAAATATCAAGTTCTCTCATATTCATCAACATATTTCCTCAGATTCCGACGAGTGAAGTCCAGTAATTTTATTAGGAAACAACTGTTTAAGCTTCCAAGATACGCTCGCACCGACGCGATGAGCCTCGAAGACCTTCGACCTGCCAACTCAAAAAAGGCACGCGACAGCAGCGTGAATGCTTTCATGAGATTCCTCACAGAAGAAGGCGTGTGTATTGATTCGGAAGACAAAGCGATACGCACTGACACAACAGGCGTGACACTGATTGCGCTGATGGACCGCCTTGGGATTTACTTGGCCGGGTTAAAGGGAAAAGATGGAAAGCCGTGTGCAAAGAAACACAGTCGACCAGTACTTCCGCCAGACAAAGCTGTGGCTTTTTCACGCTTCCCACAATACACCCAACTAGTGGACAGCACCATACTTGCGAAGGGACGCACACTTGAGAAGTACAGCGGCATGCGGCTAAGATGTCAAATTGTAAAACAAGCACTAGAATGCAAGAAACAAGACTTGCATTCCCTTATGAGCTATCTCTACAGCATCGCCAGTGTCGCGTCGGACTATCAAGGTGCCGCGCTCCTGTCGCTACTGTGGTACTTGTTCGGACGGGCATCCGACTTGGTGACGCTCGAAAAGCAGAGTATTTCGCTGTGTGGGGAGAACGTATTTTTCGTGCGATTTCTACGAATGAAAACACAAGAAGAGCAAGATCTGAAGCTTTACCCCGACGTCAGCACTATAACGTGTCCAATCACTGCTTTAGCAGCCGCCTTGGTACATCAGTGGGCTCCCAGTTCGGCATTGTTGCCGCATCTTCCACAACCTACATCGTGTGATTTTGCCATCAATGGCCCACTCGTACCCTTGTCGACTGTATTGGCGAGCGCAACCACGGGACAAAGTCTGCTTGACGAAGCTGTGGTGGAAGGAAGCTGTGGTGGAAGACGAGCAAGACGACGGTGTTGAACCCACACTGGCACGAGGGAAACCATCAGCATCACCGCCAAGGATCCACGCCTATGTCAACCGTGTCCTTAGCCGTATCTTACCTGGAGCCAATGTTATGACCAACTTGACGTCGCACTCGTTCCGGCGTGGTGGAGGTCAGTACGTCAATGGGAAAGTCGGAATTTCGCCGCAATGGATAGCGGATCGAGGGAACTGGAACATGTCTGTTATGAACAAGTTGTTCACGTAGATCTTCAACACAACAGAAGAAGATAAAAAAATTGCGAAGTTACTTGGCGGCCATGATGCGGACGCAAACATAACCCCGCTCGACTTGTCTCACTTGGACGCCACACGCGAGGGAAGATTGACTTCTTCAAAGCCCACTTGTTCAGCGGCTGTACGGGGCTATCTAACACTGTGCTCAACGTCAGTATTCAGGTTGTGGATGTCTTGTATGCTTACCTAATCAAGGCATTTCTCCTCTTCCAATCAATGAAGCCAGATTCGCCCCTTGTGAGGCGAGTTGGCCAAGCCTGTCAGTGTCCGGTGTTGATCTTGCAGAGATGGCGTATTGGTATATCCACTTGGCACAAGTTCAGATAACCAACACCTCAGGGCGGGATGTTCCAAGCTCAAAGTACCTCCGAATGATCGAGCACCAGGAAGCTGTGATCGACCAGTTAATCGACCACACAAAAACAATGTCCGAACGTCTTCGAGACGTCGAGCGACAGGTTGGCTTGAAAACGTTCTTCACCTACTCGACAAACAGTGGAAGTCCATGATGCGGAGCTGCGTTGCCTACATGCTTTTGTTTTCCGACAACCACGATGTGGACGAGAGTGCGGCGACCTACCGTGACACTTTTCTTGCCGATGGTCACATTCTGGCAGCAAAGGTACTTGCGTTTCTTGTGGAGCGCGGTGCGTCGGCATCGTCAACGGGTCCGTCGAGCGCAAGCTACGCGCTCTTTACAAGAAAGGGGAGCTGGATGTGCTCATTGTCGAATTTAATGCTCGCGTCTAATTAGGTTTGATCGTTGACCCTACACCGCAACCAGAACTGCAGTTCTCAAATCTAGTACTGCAAGATAAAAGTACATACCAAAACCCCTTCATGGGAGCGTCAGTCATCGAGGACGGCTCGGGTGTGGCTGTGGTCGTTGTGGTGGTGGCTGGCGCTAGCAATGAGACTAAGGAATCATTTGCCAATGTGTATTGCATGCTACGGAATTACGGTGAGTCAATTGATCAGTGATATGCAGGACACTGCAGTTGGCGGGGATGGGACACGCTGTCCAGGAGCGACCAAATCCAGTGGGCACCGGCGGTAGCAGGTGTGCACTCGGTTGGCAGCGCTGTTCTTATATTACAGCAACATTAACACTCACATACTTACATCAACACTACCGTTGACATGATTGGATAGCTACAGTTCATGGCCCGACCACCCTGACGGTAACCCTACGTTGCCCTACCATGGGCACAGTTGTTCACGGTGGCACAGGGTTGGACACGCCAATCACGCGACAAGAAATCCCACGAGCAGGGCACTTGGTTTGCAGCGTAGTTGCTGTAATAAAACAACATTACAAAGCACACATACAAATACATTTGAACATACATCAGCAGTACCGTTGACGTGCCAGATAGTTACAGTCCATGACCGGACCATCCCGACGGCAACCCCACGTTGCCCACCATGGATACAGTTGTTCACGGTGGCACAGGGCTGAACATGCCAAGAACGCGAGCAGAGCGACAGGGGCACTCGGTTTGTATCGTTGTAGCTATAGTACAGTAACGTTTCAACGCACAACGCGCACAGTTACAAACAATACAGCAACACTACTGTTAACATGTTTGAATAGTGATAATCCATGGCTGGGCCACCACAGAACACAGGAGCAAATATGAGCATTAGCACTAACTACCAAGTTAGTAGTGAGTCAAGCATACCCAGTAGTATTTATACATGCAAGCTGAAACGAACCTGAGTACATGTTGTACAACTAGTGACCACGGGATTGACACAAAGATGAGCGGCATGGTCGACGCTGCTGTTGACTAACGTTAGTGAGGACATGGTTAGTCATTGATGTACAGTAGAAGGTATAGATATAAAGACATACGAACGTTAGCATATTCAGCACCGACCCAGTGGATCAATTGTCAGGTTCACCACGGGGTCGGCGCAAACACGAACACCAAGCGTTCAGAAGTAGTTGGCTGCCGAGTATACAAAAGTAGTTTTAGATCATGTCCTATTGGTTACTCGATGTACGTACCTTGGTGTGTATCAGTTTATGTGGCACTCGGCTGGACCTCCCCAACGCAGACCCATCTGCCCCACCGAGTATTCAAACAAGTCGATGTGGCCACCGCAAGACCCATCATGTCATCAACTCTCTTTATCAACGGCAGTACCAGCAAAGCGGCTACAGAAGCGCGCGCGATGCGACGAGAGGAAAGGGCGATACACCCGGCTTCTTGTGGCGTCCCCACCTCCAATATTTCGCATGCTTGCCTTTCCACAAATGTCTGGGATTGGCCAGAATCCAATCTTATCGGGATTAAATTTGTTTGACTACTACTAGTATCATGCTAGTATTATTACATTTCGATTGCTAGTATTACTACATTTCCATTGAACTCTACGGCCACGTCTCCAATACGCTACGACAAATCGCATTGACTCCGGTGTCACAACTTACATGCACTCGGTTTAAAGACATCGATTTAAACGAGATATTTACCATTTTATATACAATTTCGAATTGGACGGGGCCTCCAGCCGTTGTACGACATGATCGATGAGACGACAGAATAAGGCAAGAATGGCGAATGGGACGGGAGCAGGGAGCAGCGATGGATACAGCGGTGGGCAGCGGTAATGGAGGCTGCGGACAACGGCAACTCGAAACGGCGATGCGGGCCGTGGGCGGTCAGCGGCAGCACTTTGGCAGTGCTTGAGTGGCTGCAAATTGCAAAATGAGAAGTGATTTTGAATTGACCAATCATATTGAATATACGGATAACTAACCGGCCGTCGGAACGCTGTCGGAATCCACTCTCACGTCGGAATTTTATGGTAACGTGACTGACCAGTGATGTGCCGATTTATTTCATCCAATTAAATCGTTCGAGCTGTATTATTGGACAAAACAGAACCGCTCATGCCAATAATCTTGTAAAAGCTTATGGTGGGAAAAATTATTATATGTAAAAGGTTTTCGAGTTTGAATTGACATCCAAATGACGCCTCGACGCCGTACACTGACGACACCCTGAGAGCAGCCGTTCAGACAGTCCTATCCAAAGCCCATTCAGTAGAGTAATTATCCACACGAATTTTCCAATACAATTTCCTTCGGGGAATACCGGTACAAGTAAGCAGAACTACCGCTGTGTTTGTTGTTGCAGCACTTCTGGAGCACCTACCAGTACTGTAGTGCACGCCTCCCAATGTTTACGCATATCAACAACCCTGTGTACAGTACTGTACTGTAGTAGGTGTAATGCGTGCAGTTTGTGATCTTGCACCATCCCCATTTGCTGTGCGGTACTAGTACACTGTACAGTAGTGTGCGTCGTGCCGACGTACAAACATGGCCACTTTGACGAGGCCGATAAACAAGGGGATAGGATGTACGTGTTGGCTGGTTTACGTTCGGCACTATTCCAACACTCGCCTACGTTATCCTCGCTCATCTACTAGTACGTCCTACATACTGTATCGCTCATCTACGTTTGGTTCTTTCCTCGTCCCTCTTGACAGGACACTTCGAAAACATGTGGTATTTGACCAACCTGCTGAACATTGCCACGTGGTACGATTTAGTATCCGAATAAGAAAGAATGTGGAGTACAGTTCCGCAATATCTTATTCCTGTTCAAATATAATATACCTTTATCATTTTATAAATTCCAGTCTGCTCGCCTGTTTTTTACACAACCCTAACCCATACTTACTTCAAGTATAAAATTCGGCACATCACTGGTCGTCAATGTAAATTTTGCAACTTGCGAAATTATTTACGTCATCACGAATTGTCTAAATCCATTATGTTTAGGTGTATGTGACAGATCTTGACGAGTTCTTTCAGATTACGTCCAACACATCGCCTTAGGATAAATACTTGACGAGGAATTCACGAAAGAAAAAAGAAAAAAATCGGCCCATCACTGGTCGATCACGTTATGGTATGGGAAAAGCCCGCAAAACATAAAATAACGAAAGTTTGGACAAGTCTCAATTTAAAATAGATAAAAAATGTTTTCGAATGTAAACTGAATATTCAATTCTTTGACCTAAAAAACACTACCCAAACTTTGTCCAAATCCTTGCAATTATTTCGTCCATTGACCTCTCACCAAATTTTCAACAAATACTGTACTATTGTCGGGGCTGATTGGGATCGGTCACCAGTTCAGACCTCATAACTCTTCAAGGAGATGTCCAATTTCTACGAAATGATGATATAAGAAAACGTCAAACAATTTCTGATGCGACTAAATCGCCAACAAGTCGCTTTCAGTATGGTAAGGAATAGAAATACACCGTTCAAGAACGGCAAATGAAAAACATCTCCAGTTGGAGTATAGGGTTATATTTAGGACAATTGATTGGACAAAACCAGGCTTAGGTGAAGTATAGGTAAAACGCAAGGTTTTATTTAAAAACGCATCAGGTTAAACAACGTTTTAATCACTTCCAATGGAGGACCCGCTTGAGACTAAGACAACGTCTTCATCAAGTGCCTCGTATATATCCTCGTATGCCTCCGCTTTGCGGTAGGACGACACCCAATGATGACTTTTCACCTCACCAAACAACGACCATAGACGTTCCTCGAGCTCAGCAACGTTCTTCGATGGACAAATGGCCACGCGGTTCTTCACCATCCCCCACACGAGCTCGATCGGCTGGAGCTCAGGATGGTAAGGCGGCGTGAAGTAAAGAGTGTTGCCGTACTTTGAAGCGATCAACGGCTAACACGTTAAGAACCTTAGAGGCTGGTCACGGGCCACGTCGCTCCGTGAACACAATCCGACCTGTGATCATGGCGCGTGGAGGTCGCGGGTAAAAAAATCAGTCGCAACGTCCAACGAATCGACGACTAGCAACTGCTGGTCCTCGGGTGATTTGTTCATTCGATCCAGTACGCTGATTCGACGCTTTGAGCCCAAAGGGGATGAGATAACGTCGGCCTCAGCCGCCTTGCGCTATTGATTGACCATATGAAAAATACGGAAAGATCATAACCATTTTTTGTTGTCACGATGTACAGTACAGTATTAATTGTAGCGAAATCAGAACCAGTTTTCGTCCAACTTGATCCACTTTTGATACACTAGTCATACGAACGAGCCGGATATTCCTTGTAGACCTTGGTAGCCAGCTTTTGGTAACTTCTCGTTCAATATCACTGGCGTTGATACGACGACGCAGCTCGTTGACTTCAAATTGCTGATTGGCCAGACTTCGCGTATGCTGCATGATGGCGTAGCTGGGAGTCGCAGTGTTCTTAGCGTACTGGATCCATTTTTGGCGCATTTCGTCGAAGCTGGTTGTAGGATTCAGGTGTTTCACCCGCTTGGGCATGTCGCATACGTAAGCACGCACGTCGCTGTCGTTGGGGCCACATTGCATCGGCACGTAGCTTATACTTTTTTCTACCATGACGCGAACACTATACATTCTGTAATCAGCTGGGACAGCTCCAAGAATACGCTGCCAACCGATCCAAAACTGCAAAAATTCCCGGGTACTTTCATCTAAGTCTCCCATCGTCGAGAGTTTTGAAATAAGATCTCTCGCAAGGGTCGCATGGGCAGGTTCGATTGGAGACATCGCGTGCCCAACACAAAATCGGAATTTGTTGCTCGGACAAAAGGGATAAGCATGACCTTGCTCAAAATGGATTGAGCTTTGAAATTCAAGGACACAGGGTTTCGCCATAAATGCTGCGTACTAGTACTGTATTCTACTTTGTGTCGCGACAAAAAATTCAGGGAAAATAGTGTGTATGTTATCCGGATTTTCCAGTTACCCAAATTGGAATTTTTCTCGTGCAGCAATTTGCACTTCTGCTCCCCCCGTGCCCCTTAAACATTAGCAGTTTTTCAACTGCTCGGTGGAAGCTCGTGACTTCCACTACCGAAAACTAGACGAGTATAGGAGTGCTGTATTAAGTTATTAGCTTGTAATCATGCTAGAGTGATATAAATTGTTTTCATAGCAACAATCCATCGCCAGTGGCCGTTACGTACAAGGTGACAAATCACACTTGAACTGTAATACATAAGTCGGGTGTTTGAGGTTTCCCTCTTTACCTTAGTCCCAGCTCTCGTGTGGCTTCCGTGTATGGCTCCGTGTCTGTGGCCGTCGGTCGAATCCCGATTTTTCTTCGAGAGCCGCCATCGCCGATTGTCGTACGTATTATGGCTAAGAGGTGTTTCGTCATTCACCAAAATCGAACTCCGGTGGTATTTTCTGTGATTGGATTAACGTGGTTTTATCATTTCACGGAAGTACTCTGAGTGATAAAAGAATAAGATATAAATGTTCAAGACTAGGATGTACATCAGCAATCATTTTTTTGCACCCTGCCCAGGCATAGGCTTTGAAGAAAAGCTTTCGAAAATTCATGTCCACTCAGCGATTGGCAAAATGGTATTTTGATTTCCATAACCTTTCGAAAATGTATGTCGACTCAGCGATTGGCTACAGTCATTTTTAGTTTCGAAAAGTATAAGCAATCATCGTTTCTGAAGCCCACAGAGCTTTTCAGGCCACGAGCACGTGATTTTCGTCGCTTGCACATCACCTGGTATTCCCTTTCGCCAGAAATAATTTCATGGATATCCATGGAGTGGGGTAACCTTGATGTGTAGGCTTGATGTGAAGTTGTTTGTCTACATTCATTGTAATCAATATATACTCATATTAATTTCTTGACAGCGGCCACGGGTGTCCAGAATTGAGGGAGTTGGGGGAGTTAGGGGGCGAGATATTTCTACGTGTACGGGACTTCTCCAGCTGTAGTACAAGGCGACGAAGGAGTTAAATTTCACAACTATTGGCCGACATAGACCAGGTCATGTCTATAATGATGGCCAAAATAGTTCATGTAGGACGCCCGTGGGGACACGAGCCCATGTCTGCGTGCGTGAACAAGGCTGGTCCCACATCTCAGAGTATATCTCAGCGGCGGGACCAGCGAAATAATGAATGGAATTGACCAGGCCTTATCATTATTGTATTGTGTATTGTATTGTTCTGGGCAAGTCGAACAATAAATAATTGCAATATATTGTATTGTATTGACAATAATGCTCAATATATTGAGGCTCGATTTACTCGAAGTCAGATCCGAAGTCTTCATCATCTTCGTCAATGTCTTCATCGTTTTCATCTTCATTACCATGTACAACTGATGCCACAAGAGCTTGATCCCAAAGATATCGATTGGTTCTCAAATACACCAGAATTTCGAGAGTTCTAGGACTCAAAGCTCGACAATGCGGAGAGTACAGACGTTTGCACAAGCTGAAAAGGCGTTCAACGTCATTCGATGTTGGCACAATAAAGGAAGTGCACACATAGCTCGAGGACGACTTAGATTCTACGCGCTGCCGTTTCAAGGTCTCCGAAGCAAAATCATCTTCTCTCTACCGAGTATGACCATCAACTGCGAATGCATGATCCGCCCGCTTGACCAAACGCAGAACTTGATTGCGCTCCTCGGGGGTAAGTTGATTCTCACAAGAGCCTTGAATCTTAACAATTGCACTCTCAAACACTGGCGAGGACACATTCTTGCAAGTTGGTCCAACAAAATTGTCGAGGAACGGATGGCGTAGGATGGCCGCATCGAACAGGTAGCGAACATTGCTCATTGTGATATTTCGAGTTTGTAGTTTCTTCGTCATCGACATGAACAGCTTAAGCTCCGCCACCGCCGAGTCGATTCGCAGCAATTCGAGGTGAGTAGGCATAAGAGCTGCATACGTGGCATCGGTGTGGTCAATGGCTTTGAGACTCATAAACTTGACAAATCGTTTGAGCATCGTTGACGCACCAGTCCATCGCGTTTCGTTTAGTAAGTTTACATCGGATCTTTAAAGCTGTCTATCTTGCGTTATAGAGGGATTTTAGGCAATTGTTTTGGTCAATTTTGTAAGGGTGTGGGGTGTCTGGTTTTTGATATATTATATTGTTCAATATTATTGTAATTGGTAGGTTCGGACAATACATTATTGCCCGCAATAGTATTGTCAATTATTGATACGTCAATATATTGTTGACGATCCCTGGAATTGACCACTATTGGTGGTGATGGCATCTGAATGTCATGTAGCACGCCCATGGGAAGGCAACCTCATGTCTACGTGCACGAGGCTAGTCCCACCTCAGAGGGTATCATTCTGCGGTGGGTCCAACCGAAGAATAAATGATTTTGGACCAGTATTGGCCGTTTTAGACAGATCATGTTTGTAGTGGTAGCGCGACGTGGTATCCTCGGCACATCTATGAGGAGGTATTACCTTGTCTGTGTGTACGGGACTGGTCCCACCTCTTAGAGCATCTTTCAGCGGTGGGACCAGTCGTAGAATGACTGATATTGGTCCTGTATAGATCGTGATAGAGTGTGCCATATCTGCGCTATTTTACATGATACATGTATTATCATGATAATCATGCTTCCAATCAACAACACGATTTTCATGTTAATCAGTCGATAAAAGCACGCGCAAGTACACCCAGCAAGCGTGAAAACCCCAAGCACACGTTAACCCCCAAAAATTATTCAAAATACGCGATACGAGTAAATACCCCAAAACGCACGCGTGAAAACCCTACAACCTAGTATTATTGATTGGGAATGGACCAGCACTTGTCATTGATGCACATGCCGAGACGGTGCTGTATCTTACAACGCTACGAGTAGTATGTACATGACGACGCCGTTGTATCGGCTGATGAGGAAGATCCTGGTGGTCGTGTGGCTGAACATGAGAGTTTCGTCGGTTGAGCTTTACAATGTCCGCATTCACATCACCAAGGTCAATAGTGGGTGATTATAACCAATCAAATGAGCGTGTACGACTTGATTGGTTAAAATGTATTTCGCCGAAAATGCTTCAACAAATTCTGATCACAATAGGGAGATTTTGGAGACGAATATTTATCTTTATCCTTAAAACTACTTACTTTCCATGGGTAGGAAGGAGTCTTCCCTACTTGAATATAGGAGAAAAAGGGGAAATGATTTCCCCTTAACGTTATACTTATTTTTCCGAGGCCTGGTTAGAAGGCAGTGCTGTACTACAGTACCGGTAACGTTAGAATTTACTTCGAGGTAAAGGTTTGTCCAGTCAGAAATTCTGACGGGAAATTTGAAATTTCCCGTGGGTGCACCGAAATGTCGCATGATCATTTCATTGGAATACAGTATTCCCATCTGCTCTATTAGAGTGTGCATGATTGTGTTCCAAAATTATACGTGGCATAATCGTGGCAACTTTTAACGCTCTCGTGCCATCCATACACGACGAGTACGTGAATTCCATTTTTGGTTGTAAATCAAGAAGTTTGCCTCACGTGTATCCATATTTCCACATCCTCAATCTTCGTGCGAGGACGAGATGCAGTCATTCTTACTGAACAGACTTTCGCATTGTTGTTCCACCACCACAGAAAATGAGATCAGTGCCTAAACCAACAACGTTTATGTTATCTACTAGTGATTGCTACAGCACCAAGATTCGTTGGAGTGTAGTTCTAACGTTAGTGATTGCCACACACCAATATACATCCTCGCAGAATTACATCGACAACACATTCGCTCTCAATCATCACAGTCACTACAATTGCCATGGGCGCAGCTTGGAGTCAGCTTAGCTGGCTGCGTTAGGAGTGCACGTCGTTGTTGGTAGAACCCTAAACTGTCGCGAAAGGTCAGTATGTCGCTGTTTGTCCCATATCTTGCAGTTGCTGCACAGATAAACACACGATAAGTCGATAAAATCACATAAAGAGTCCAGTATTTAAATATGTTAAAGGTGTATCTCCCAGTGATGGCAAAAGAAGGTACAGGGTGCGCATTGTGATTGGTCGAAAATGGAACGTCTCGTTGTGATCATTATTCCATTTGAGAATTCACAAAGTGGAAACGTGATCACATGTCTCCGCTCAACTACGCCGAGAAGTTGTGCTTCGTCACCGACATCGTTGATACCACTACGCACCTGAAGGAAGCTGCGTCACATGGGGAGAAGCGAATTGGTCGCGTCGATCCTGCCGACTTTCTCAAGAAACCCTCCATCGTCATTTCCGACCTCGACACGGATGCGCTCGGAATTTCTTCATTCGACGAATGGGTTCGAAAATGGAACCGAAGCCTTTCGTCCAAGGTTGATATTGTCGGCACGCTGAGTGCGCTTGTGTACGTATCATCTCCTCCGCCAGCCAATGAAGTAATTCACGATGGATCTCGTAGATGGACGTTGCAGATCTACCAAGTGTTTCTGCGATGGAACGAAACCCGCACAGACATCCAAGGATTTGCATTGCTCCACGACCCAGTGCTTCACCAACTCACCCCCGTTGATTATTCCTTGCCCCTCTTCTTCCTCGTGTACGGTTCGGTCATCCTTGCGCTGGTTGTGTACGGTCGAAACAAACCGGACTTTGTGATGGAACTCCTGCAAGCAAAAACGTGTGTGATATACATGCGCATGGTACTCCCTCTCTTATATTTTTATGGGGCTGATGTATGCCATAGATGGCGCTGTACTTGGTCCCGCTAGAAGCGCCGATGGACACGATTCCGTTGATTGATCCCATCGCTGGCAGCGATGGCATTGTGCTCATGCGAGATTTGTTCTTCTCAGGACACACCGCCACGACCTTTCTTGTGTTTCTCACTTGTCGGCGCCACGATACCGCATGGAAGGGTCTGTTTTTCGTCATGGCGGCCACCACCGCCATCATGGTCACCCTGCAGAAGACCCATTATGCGATCGATGTGTTTGCAGCTCCGTTCTTTGTCTACACATGCCATGGTTTGGTCTTCGAAGTGAGAAGTGCGTGTCGCGCCTTGCACATCGCGGGGAACCTTCGTCGGACGGCAGCGCTGCAGTAGTCAGACGTTTTATTTTATCATTACCTATCGCCATATCTTACCTCCATGCTCAATATGCCCTCGTTCACTCTTGCATCTTGCTTCCATGTGCATTGTACTGTACGTTTAAAAGGGGGTAACTGAAGTGCAGTACTTGACGGTCACGTTGATTATAAGCGGTCTGGGTGTGGTCGACGCTGATTGGCTATTATTAATTTAATCGGTCTACCGGTAGTAAATCAAAATTTGAAAACTACGGTATTATTCCATCGGAGCATCTCCAACTGTAAATTCTAACCTATTGCTAAAGCATACTGGTAGGTTAAAGTCAAACTTCGTTTTTACGGTTGCTATTTTGGCACTATCCGGACTTTTTAGAAATTAGGTACCCGCAGAATTTCTATTTTTGCGTGAAATAGCACAAACTCTCCGGATAATGCAAGAGTTTCTATTCTATATCCGTGACTTCTATTTCAATTTCAGTGTATCGAACCCGACAAAGTCCTTTTTTTACCACTTCGACCAAGCCTTATAAGAAGTTAAAGCACCCATTAATAACATACCAGTACAGTACTTCGAAGTATTTGAATATTCACCTAAAAAAAATAAAGCGAAACCCATAGCAGAATATTCAACGTTCTAAGTTGAAACTAGTATACCCGCCCACAAAATTAGCGGAGGTCGTGTGTACTACTAGTATAATTTGTGCAGGCGGTGCCTTAACGAGGAGTGAAACCCAAACGTCACCGAATGTCCCATCGAATCCTCTTGTTGGGAAAAGCGGCAGGTAGACTGTGCTACCTGTTACTTCGAAGTACACAACATCCAACTATCCGTATATTAACCGGATGCACCATTTAAAAGGACGACATCCGTAACTGGCGAAACGGCAGTTACACAACATCACAACTATCCGTATATTAACCGGATGTGTCGCTGGAGAGTTGACTGGTGGTTTGTCTTTTGGTCATCATGGTGACAACGCGCGACGCGGCGGTGGTCGCTGCAACTCTCGCGGCGGTCACGGCCTATTCGTACTTGTCCGACTACATTCTAAAGTGGAGAGGTGCGGCCTACCGTAAGAACAACCAGCTGGAAGTTGAGGAAGTCCACACCAACGACATGGATCACTGGTAGACATCATCTGTATGGATCCTGGCGTGGCTCACTGTGACCTAGCGATGACAACGTCCCTCGACGCATTCGAAAAGCAGAAACAGGTACGTCATGTGCTTCATCATGCCCTTGGCTTTCGATGAGGACTAATCTGATGTAGTCCTCCAACGCCGCACGGCTCGAATCGTTCTCGTCCTGGAATCGAGCTGTGATATGTTCAACCAAATGGCTGTGCTGCGAACGGGTATGGTCCATCTTCATGTTATGGTGCGTCGCATCTAATCATGTCCACGCAGCCGAATGCTTTGGAATTCAGCATGTTTGGATTGTCGAACCTGCCTTCTACAAGCAACACAAGGCAGATCGCATCATTGCGCGGGTACTTACTCCACCTTGGACATGTTCCTTGACGATCACGTTGGCCTCTCTCCCCAGGAAGCGACGGATTGGCTCTCCATTCGCAGGTTCAAGACGTCTGCTGCATGCATCAAAGCGCTGCGAGAAAGTGGCTACGACGTGCGTATCGCACCCTCCCTCCATTCACTGGTGCTCACATATTGACCATATATCAGATCTGGACAACGGAATTGAGTCAAGAAGCCGTGTCGTTGGAAGCCCCCGAGCTCAAGCTTCCGGAACGCGTGGCCATTGTCATGGGTCGGGAGGCGGATGGAGTGAGTCAGGTTCGACACGAAGCTTCGACCACTCGAGCTCTATGGTCTGACGTAGGATATGATTGCCGCGGCGGACAAGCGTGTATACTTGCCGATTCACGGGTTTGCCGACTCGTTGAATTTGAACGTGGCGACGGGGTTGATAATCCAGCGCCTCTTCTTTATCTGCCCCGAAGCTCGCGGTGCCATGACCAAGTCTGAGCGCTCCGAACTTCGCAACGAATGGTATCGTCGCATGGTCAAGGGCGACGAGAAGGCCGAGACATTCTTGGCTAGTCCCCCACCTGCTTATGCGGATCTCCGCCGTCCAGACGATCATCGTGGCGCGTGGATGGGCAGCAAGACCAAACGCAAGATCCAAGAACGCGAAGCGCAATTGAACCAAGCGTCATCACTCGAGTTTTGAATCTCAATAATCCGGATAAACATGGCGATGTATAGCAATGTATCCGAATAATAGTTAACCCAATGAACCTCGGCACCTTCGACCAACCCTTTTCATTCTCGTTGACACCATGGTTCTGGTGATGCGGATGCGTCATGTTGTGCGAAGGGCGTCACTTTCGAAGCGAGTGATGGCTCGCTTCTCCTCCACGAACGTGGCGGCGCCGTCTCGCGTAGATGACGACCTGATCGCCAACTTCCAGCTCCTCTTGGAGAAGCGGCAGGCTACAGAGGCCATGCAGATTTTCCAATCGCTCAAAAAGCCGCCAGCCACGGCGCTGTCGCAACGATTGGCGATCATGCTTGCAAAAAGAGCCACGCTTAAAGACACCAAGGATGCCATTGACGTGTTGAAGAGCGTTTACATGTATGGCCCATTGCCAAATGCAGCGCGTTGCTTCTCGGGATGGTGCTTGAGTATTGACATGTCTTCATAGGAATCCAACGCTCAAGCCCGACGACTTTACGATGCTGGCGTTCATTTTCGTGTCGGATGCATGCTACCGCAACAAAATGCTCAAGGAGGCCCTTGAAGTATGTTTCCATGTGCTCCTACGTCAACCACCTTATGTGATGGAGTAGGTAACGGAGGAAGCGCATAACTTGGGGGTCCGCCTGGACTTGCCAGCGTACAACAACCTCATCAACGCGCTGGTGGACGCTGACCAGACTGACGAAGCCATCTTGATTCTGCAAGATATTGCCGGAGGTATCTCGAATCAAGATTGCGTCATGCTCCAACCTTTTATCTAGGCGACGTCATCTCCCCAGACGAAACGACATATGCCGGGTTGATTAGTGCGATCATTTCACAGCGCGAGTTTTCACAAGCCATGGAAACCATTGACCAGGCACGGACGTCGGGTGTGAAATTCTCGGGAGAGGTACTTGGTGTGTCATTGCGATAACGTCATCCTCATCAGGTTGCTACAGACGTACATGTCGTTCATGTCGTCGTTGGCGGACGTGGAAGACGACTCGGATGCTATGGACAGGCTGCTCACGTACTTGGAAACGTCCATGGACGAAGACGGCATCGAGGTGCGTTCGTTGTACGAATCACCACAAAATAGTGTGATGTCATTTGCTTGCAGGCGTTTGAGGAGTTTGAAAACGCTATCATTGGCCACGACGACGATGACGACGATGACGATGACGGTGACAATGACAACGACGACGACGACCACGACGACCACGATGACGACGGCAACACGTTGCATTAATAAGAATACACGTGTTATATTAGCTAGACGAACGACGTTGTTCATTCAGCCCAGAGGGAGCGCGAAGTTGGAACGCCCGACGCACGTCCTGAGTAAACAACCCCCGTGGCCCCGAGTCCATGGCGGCTTCGAGTTGGACCACACTGGTCGCGAGTTCGAGTTGGGGCAAGAGGAGCCCGCACACATCGACGCAAAAGTGCTCGAGGCACGTCTGCCACCCTTGGCTGGACAGCATGCACTACGAGTAGTAAGTATGTAGTACTACACGTCAGCCATATTGTTTCCACCCCTAGGTCGTATTACTTGGTCCCACACAAATTCAACTGCGCGATGGGGCAAATAGCCAACAAATGCCCGCTGAATCCATCTACACGGGGGGCAATACACATCAAAACTATTCACATGCACATTTCTTTCATGGTGCGTCCATGGTCGTCCAGCGTACGGCACAAATAGTTGCGAGGGCTTTTCGGCTAGATCGAGTTTGGTGTGGGCGAAAATTCCATCCACGTGGTGGAATAGACTTGCGTATTGCACCCCAACATCAAGCCACACCTGTGATACTTCTGTGACGATGAGCTTTAAGGTGGGTCGACTCACCCGTTGGGCGGATGCGTACAGGTCACTCCGGCTAACACCGCACCGGTGATACTTGTTCAGAAACACATGCAAGCAAGACACCAACTGGGATTCCCTGTGCATCCCAACAAGTTGCAAAGAAATGGGGTCATGGCTTGTTTGCATTGTTTAGTGCAATGCTAGACAAACGTACTTGGAGTCGAACGATGGAAAGAGGCGCACCAGCGGCAGGGCCAGGTACAGAAAGTGGCTGCTTTGGAGCTTCGTCAAGACGTACCACATGTTGAGGACATCACAAAGTCGAGGCTGGTCGTCGACGGCCGTGCTTGGAAACTCTGCCAAAGTATCGCGAACGAGGCGGAACAGGAGTGACGATATGGGGGATGTCCATGGCTGGGGCAACGCCAAGAGCGACTGATTCGCTTGTAATCGCCAGCCAATCTCAACGCTTGTGTCAGGGACGTAGAGTCGTCGGAACCATAGAAGCTGACGGAGTTGCGTCGGTAGTGAACGTCCATGACACGACTGGAACATATTTGCTTCATCGACAAGTGCTTGAGCGGCTAACGTCGCGTCTGCTTCGAGGGGGTAGCGAACACTCTGATTGGAGACGATGGTTAAAAAGGACGAGGTGGGGGCTGCTCGCAAGGGTGGAGCTGAGACTGGGGGGATGAAGAAGTGGCCGTGTAAATGATGGATCGCATTCGTGGCGGCTTGCTCGATGGTTGATGCAGTTGAAGGAAGTGCTGCCACGTGCAGTGCGTAGGATTCTTCGATACTGTTCTTAAGTTGATGCATGGTCTTGCTTTGGAGCATGTTGGACATCTACGCAGCACTGGATGTGAAATTTGTGAAGTCTATTGACGATCTCGAACATGTGGGGCGAGAAACGCGAGCAGTTGCGACAGAAGCTGGCACTCCAACTCATTGCGAGTATCAGCAGACATATATGGCTCGACCAAAAGGTATGCATGGGCGCGTTCAGAGGAAAAGAATTGTTTTGCAAACGCATCGCCACATATGCTTAATAGAATCTGGAGCGCCGAAGGATTGTCTTTGTAAGGCACCACAAACTCATGCATGTGCTCCATCAAAGTCGACTGGATCTACACGATTATGACATTGGTATGAGACAACCCATCATCGATGACAATGATCACCTCTCTCCATGCTGGCAGTAAGATGGCATTGTGGACAACCGAGGATATCGTCAGCATGTTTAACGAAGTGCTTAGATCGGTTTCACTTGGTAACTGACAACGTTACTTTTGTCATTTCGTACATTTCGTGGAATGTTCGTCCGCAATGCAGCGATGCCATTGGTCGAACGAAACGTCCAAGTGATGGTCAAGTTGGAGTGCAATCGAATTCTGTAGTGTGAACTTGATTTCGCATCTATCGAAGTTCACACTGCAGAATTCGCACATTTCCTCATTTTTGATGACCATGACTTACCATAGTCTTGCATCGTCCCTCACCCGACCGCCGACAACTCCCATCACAGTCCAAGAAATCTTCTCACCTGAACGACGTATATTGGCCTTTGTGCTTGAGAACGTGCTATCCTCAGGTGAATGCAACGCGTTGATCCGACACAGCGAAGCCAGTGGCTACGAGCCAGCTTTGCTCAACGTTGGCTACGGCCGGCAAGTCCTTCGCCCAGACGTCCGGAACAACGACCGGTGCATCATAGACGACGTGGCGACGGCTTCCATCGTTTGGGACCGCGTGCGGCCGCATCTGCCGTCCACGTTTCAAGGCAAACCCGTCGTTGGCGTGAATGAACGACTGCGGTTCCTTCGGTATTACCCCGGCCAACAATTCAAGCCGCACTGTGGCGGCTCGTATCGCCGACCCGACGGAAGCGAGCAGTCGTACATAACCATTCAGATCTACTTGAATGGCGGCGACGACCTCGAAGGCGGCGACACGGTTATTTTCGACCGCGACAACACGATCAAGGTGCATCCAGTTCCTGGACGTGTGCTTATTTTTCAACACTACAACGTGGAGCACTCGGGAGCCCCTGTGATCAATGGAGTCAAGTACGCCATCCGCTCGGACATCATGTGCTCCTTGAACAAGTAGGATCGGCGAGGCTTAACTATCACTCGCTTATGCCATGGTTCATCATCTCGTTCCAGGATTTCGTCATTTTGTATCGCCATCGGTCGCAATGATGGTACTGTATCATGCCTGGTTCGACACCATCGCAATCCATGAAATATACATGTACTAGTTCTTTCACCATGTGAGAACTACGTACTTCGTACTAATTCAACATAGCGAGCGGAGTAGGTACGAGCATCAACCACCTATCTATTTCACGGTACATCCGATTCCCCAAATGAAGTGTAACTCTTCAAGTATGCTATGTGCACCACAAGCCAAGTCGCTATGAGAGACCCTTTGTCCTTGGTTTTGATGTGATTTAAGTGAAAGGAGCAGTTACTTTGTAACTTGCCCCGAAACCCGAATGGACAGCACCGGATAAACATCAACTATCCGGATAACCTTGTGAGGGGAGCACAATTTGGGCCGTTACTGGCTTTGCGATTGAAATCATCGTGATCTTGTGTGACGGACTGAAGGGATGCAGCAAAACAACTTTGGGAGTACCAACCGGTATGGATCTGGCGCACAGCAGCAACAGCAGGGTGGAGGCAACTTCCACTCCTATAGAGGCATGAATCAAGAGGCTCCTTCTCAAGGAGGCCAGTTCAATGTCGGTCAACAAGGCCCACCACAAGGCATTGTGTGGACACCGCCATCCCCACAGGAGAAGCATTACTACGACATGCTATTTCAAATTGCCGACGACGAAAGGACAGGTGCGATTGGCGGTCGTAGTGCTGTGATGTTCTTCACCAAATCGGGCTTGGACAAGTCCATTCTGCGGGAGGTTCGTTGGTTCCATTGTAAGCAACCCCTTCATGACATTGCATGCAGGTGTGGACCATTGCAGACTCACGTCAAACAAGTTTCCTCCTCCTCAAAGACTTTTACGTGGCCATGCGGCTGATTGCTTTGGCGCAACAAGGTCATCCCGTGAATTTGCCACACTTCTACGAACTGGCGTCGTCGCCCTTCGCGTTGGCGCGGCTGGAAGGGGTCCCGCCTCCTCAGCAGCAACAACAACAGCCACCCGCCTCGACATATGCCATCACGAGCGACGAGAAGACAAAATACCAGGGCATCTTTGCGCAGTATGACACGGACCACGACGGGTTCCTCCTCGGCCAAGATGCCGCCGCGCTGTTTCAAATGTCGGGCATGGACCGAAATGTAACCGATGACGCAATCACATCGAACTTCGAGATAATGGTTCGTGCATGCGTAGGACCTCCGGACGGTGTGGACGCTGGCGGACCGGTCGTCTGACGGCCGCCTGGACTTGACCGAGTTTTACATCGCCATGCACTTGATTGTGTGTGTGACCAAGCGAGGGCTGCCGTTGCCACAGACGCTGCCGCTGGAACTGGAGCAGTCGCTTCGGTCCACAGGATCGTTTTCCCAGCCTGCGTCCGGCCACTTGCAGCCAACTCAACCGCCCCAACCCCCGGCCCCCGTTCAAGGCATGTCGGCCTTTGATGATCTGGACGGCGGGTCTCCTGCGGCAGCTGAGTCGTCGTCGATTGGATTTGGAAATAGTCCAGATATATCCGGTGGGAACTTTCCAAGCGGCTCTCGCACGTCGTCTGCCGCGGGTCTTGGCACGAATGCCGCCGGTTTTGGCAATTCTCCGAATGCTGGCTTTGGTCAGTTTGGCTCCCCTTCTGCGGCGCCTCCCGATCTTGGGCAGCAAAGGCAAGCGAGTTTTGCCGCGCAGCCGCCACTTGGGGCTTCATCGGGTACGACGGGGCCAACTTCTGGTTTTTGCAATAGCCAAACCAGTTTTGGGTCGCCCGCCCAACCACCGATGGATGGCTTTGGCAATCAAGCGCCGAACAGCTTTGCTGGTCCTCCTACTTCTGGTTTTGGCAGCTCGCAACGCCAGGGTAGTGTTGGTCCTCAAGCTCCAAGCAGCTTTGGAGGCTTTGGCGCATCTTCACCCGCCCAGGACCTTAACGCCCCATTTGCAACTCCCGCTGCTTCTGATTTTGGCAGCAGGTCTCGTCAAGCTAGCTTTGGAGCTCAACCGTCAGTCTCTGCATCTTCGGCCGTCGACGGTTTTGGGAAACACGAAGCTACTCGCACCAACAGCTTTGGCCTGCCCACAACTCCCCAAAGTGCCCCTTCGCTGTTGACCTCCGGGTTCGGTAGCCAAAGTGGATTGAATGCATTTGGGTCGCCGATATCGGCCCCGCCAGCTACAGTGCCATCCCCAGCGACTTCTGGTTTTGGCAATACTCCAAGCAGTCCAGGGAACTTTGGAGACTTTGGGCTGTCCGCGCCTGTGGCTCCAGAAGCCTCTGGTCTTGGCAGTAATCCGAGCCAACCAAGCGGGGGATTCGGAGGGTTCGACTCGCCCGTACGAGCACCGTTGTCTACATCTGACCCCGTGACCTCTGGTTTTGGCAGCAACAAGCAGGTCCAATCCAGCGGTTTCGGGGAGTTTGGTTTGTCTCCATCAACTCCAGCAGTGAAAGCTCCCTCCCCTTCTGCATTGAACACTCTACCGACCAGTAATGCCGACTTGGCATCTCCTGCTCAATTTGGCAGTAATAAAGCCGCGTCAAGTACTCTGCCCCCTTCCGGTTTTGGCAGTTTTCCTGAACCTCCATCGTCGGTTTCTTCAGGATTTGGCGACTTTCCCTCGCCGACAAACACGTCTGCGTTTGGAGACTTCTGCGGCGCCACCTCGTCTGCTCCTGAGGGCTTTGGCAGCCCCAATCCTCCCGCAACGACCGACTTTGGTGACTTTGGTGCTTCGGCAACTGGGCTGTCGACCTCTGGTTTTGGCAGTAACAAGTCCCCTCCATCCGACTTTGGGGTCTTTAGCCTACCGCCGCCACCCTCAGCGTCAACTATCCCAACTTCCACCACATTTGGTAGTTCCAAGTCAAATCCAATCGTTGTCGAAGCTCCTTCTGGTTTTGGCAGCAACAAGTCGACGGGTTTTGGCGAGTTTGATGTGGCCCCAGTCGTCGTAGCCAGTCAACCTTCCTCCGGTTTTGGCAACAACTCGGTGTCGTCTGGGTTTGCCGATTTCCCATCGCCCACCAACTCGTCAGGGTTTGGCGACTTTTCGTCCTCCTCCGCTCCTCCCGCCCCATCGCTTGACGTTGGATCGAAGCAACCTTCGACATTTGGAAGCACCAAACCTGCCGAATTCACCGACTTTACCGTCGCCTCTTCAGCCACCACTCCCACAACCACCACGCCAGTCGATTCCTCGCAACCCCCCCCGCAATCGTCTTCGTTTGGTACGTTAGGTCGCCGCGACTCTGGGGCGATCCCCCTCACCCTCGGTACATCGGCGTACGCGCCTGCATCGACGTCTGGCTTTGATGGCTTTCCATCGCCCATTTCCACGACCACGTTTGAAGGGTTTGGGTTGACGCCATCGACCTCTGTCGGTGACCCGCCGTCGGCTTTATCGGCTGGATTTGAAGCGTTTTCGTCCTCGGGACCCGTGTCCTCGCTTGAAGGGGGGGCCTCGGATAACCATGGCGAGGCGACCGCGCGAGACCTAGACGCCGCCAACGCCAGCCTCCTCCGCTCCTTGACCGAGCTCGCCGTGTCACAGAAACACGTGGTTCAAGTGACCCACATCCAGCACCTGGCTACCAACCTCCTACGGCTCACGGCCCAGCGCGACCAGCACCGCGCCGCCCAATCGACCGACCCGACCGTGTCCCTGGCCATTCAACGCCTGATTGACGACGAGCGCGCGTTCATCAGCACCACGTCGGCCGTGCTCCAAGAGCTCGAGCAAAAGAAACCTCCGTCGTCGTCGCTGTCGAGACAACCGTCGGCTTCGTCGGCCACGACCAGTGCCTTCGACGCGTTTGAATTTTAATACTCCTGTGAATTGCCAATATAACACCTGAATAATCCTTGGTCATTATCGTCGTTAGTGTCGGGGGCGTTGTTGTTCTGGGATGCAAACCCATGATGCGAAGGGAGATGCATGCGCAACGAGCTGTGGAGGATGGCGGCGGTCCTGTCCATCGCCGCGTTCTCCGCACGCAGCGTGACGAGGGCGGCTTTGAGGCGCGTCAACATCCCCGAGTCGGTGAGGGAGTGGCTCTGGGTAGCCAAGGCGGCGGTTGTGCTGCCGAGAGTCTCGGCAGTTGCGCTCAAAGATGCATGGAGGGCCACTCGGGTGCTTTCGAGACTCCGAAGTACACCGTCGAGGTGTGTTTGTCGGTGTTTTCGGCGCCGAAAGTGCTCGCGCCAAGCCAAGCACTCGGACGTGTCGTTGAGCTCTCTTTCCTTGATCGAAATGCTCTCCCGATGGTGCCGCAGGGTCTAATATGAGTAGTAATCAACCCAGTCCGAGTAGTATAAACGAACATACGGCCACGAGCGTTTGAAGTTGGCAGTGAGTGGCAGGCACCCCCGACACGACGACCGCCCCTTGACGCTGCAGCTGCTCGAACCGGTACCTCCAAAGGCTAGCTCCAGCAGAAACCATCGTGGCCACTTTGGCTCGGATTCTGGGCACGTTTCGGTGTATTTCAGCCGCCCACATGGTCGTGTTGATGGGGGTCACAGGGCTCAGCGGCAGGTGCTGGAGGCCACTTAGTTGGCCCTCTGGTTCGTGTCGCGATGTCGTCACCACGTACATGTCTTGGTTCATGTCGTCATCATGTCTACACGATCGGCGCTCACATTGAGGCACGGGGGGAGTTTCTATTTTTTGAATGTACATACATGTCGTTTGATTGGGAGTTGTTAGGGGCGTCGTCTGCCCAGTCGCAGGCGCTTTCTCCATCGAGTTTATCCATGGATGATTGTTCCGGCTCGGCAGGTCCCATCACACACTTGGGAGGTCGTTGGTTCTGCAGAATCGAGTCGCAGGCACCGTCGAGCAAAGCGCACACGTCTGCTCCGTAGCCTCCTGTGAGGGCGGACGGAGCGATGGACTGCGTGTCGACGCCGGCTCGCCCAGCTGCCACCAAAACGGCAGTGGCTCTACGCAGCGGGGGGATCAAGTCATCGTTGAGCTGTACGTCCGTCGTGACAGAGGGAACGCGATGGAATAGCCAGTCCATGATGGCCATAAAGTGGGCAAACTACCCATCGGATATGAACTGTAGCGATATTGCAGTTCGACTGCTTACTTGAGTGTGGCCACGAGGGGCGGCAGTAGCAAAGTAAATACGTGGCAGTCTGAGGTGCAAGATAGTCTAGACCCCAGTTAGTCAGCGTAGATAGCGAAGCATGTATCAATGTACTTGGAATGGATAATCCAAAAGCACGAGCTTGTCATGGGCGAGCTCGCTCAAGACAAATGCTCGAGTGGCATCGATTCGTGAGGCGTTGTTGTGTCCTGATGACGTGACGGTTGAGGGGGTGCTTTCTCGGCTGGCAATGGACCTCCGATCGGAGTCTTCCTCATTGTTGGATGGCATATGAGAGGGGGGGGTCTGTGGGGGGTCGGGGGAAAGTGCGGACGCCGTGGCCACTGCGCAAAGATGCGCCAGGGTCGGGCGGTCGTTGGGCACGAGCGATAGCATCTGGGCTACCAACGTCCGCAACGTGGCGCTGTACACATCGGACACTGGCTCGTACTCGCCTTTGTTGACCTACATGGCACACAACCCTCAAGTCTTCGTCTTTGGAAGGATGACATTACCTTTTGAAAGAGGCCGTAGAGGTTCAGCCCTTCCGACTTGAATGGAGACCGCAGCATCGCCAACTCGTACAAGATGCATCCCAAGCTCCACACGTCGCACTTCCAGTCGTACCCGTCACCACGCAGCACCTCTGGTGACATGTACAGCGGCGTGCCGACCTTCGAGTGCGCCTCCATCGTGTCTTCACTCAGGTACCGCCCCAACCTAATCACTTGTCGTGTCAACTCGATGCGGAAGGAGGGCGTACCCCAAGTCGCCGACTTTCACAGCCCCAGATAGCGTCAAGAAGATGTTGGCGGGTTTGATGTCGCGATGCATGATACGATGGGCGTGCATGTGCTCAATGGCGGCGCACATCTGCCCAAAGTAGGTCCAGATCGTGCGTTCGTCAAAGCGTGCGTGTTTATCATTCGCTTTGCGAATCTATACATCCAACGTTGTCACAGAAGAACACGGCATTGACATACTACCTGACGCTTGAGGTCGCCTGCTTCGGCCCACTCAAACGCGATGCACAGCTCGTCGTCTTGGCCGATGAATGCATCGAGGTACTGAATTATGTTGGGGTGGTGCACGGACTGCACGAGACGCACTTCCTTGAGCGTCTTCTCGCGTGCCTTGACATCCATCAGGTTGAAGATATTAACCTTTTTCAACGCAACGACCACATCGTCCCGCCGCCGTTTGGCGCGATACACGACGGAAAACTTGCCCTTCCCGATGGGCTTGACAATGTCATAGTCGCCCAGTGAGCCCCCCGACTGGAACAACTTGCGTTGGGCGTCGCTGAGTTTGTCCATGTTGCCACACGGCCAGACGGTCGCACGACGATACAACGAAGATACGACGTGTGGCAGTTACATTATTCGAACCGACACGGCATCAATGTCAACTTATAGGTCTGGCACTTGGCTAAAGTCATCGTTGTCGTTGCTGCCGTCGTCCGAGCTCACTACCCCGCATCACGTCACTCAGATTGTTATGCTTGCAAGTCGTCGTACCTTCCACGTAGCCGACGTCAAGGTCAGACAAAGACAGATTCATAATGGACGCGCGGTCGACATGAGAAGTGCAACCCAAGCGGACCCGCTCGCTTTCTTCGAGCACCCGGCGAAGCTTATGGAGTTGTTCTTGGTACAGCATCTACAACGTGAGCTCCCATCAACATGACGCCGCCCACATTGAAGTAATGGAATCACATACATGCAACTGCATTTCCCTGGCCTCGTAAGTCCTCCGCATCACCTCGTCCGCTTCCGTGATCCTCGTCATCGTCAAGCTCGTCTGGGTGACGGCGTCCGTCATGACGGCCGACTTCTTACGTGGTTGTTTGTGCTGACTTGGATGATCGGCAGCAGTTTCAGGTCGAAGCGGAACCTTCTTGCAACGCGCGGCGAATTTGAGAGTACTCATGGTCTCGCCAAGACTCTGTGGCGCGGCGTCGACGGTGGCAATCACAAGGGTGACATGGCAGCCTCCCAAGACCCCCTTGAGCAGCTTTGTCAGTTTCGATTCTCGACATCTGGACTGTAGCTGCTTTTCGGGCTGCGACAACGCTGCGATGACATTGCCTAGCGCACACAGCGACGAGTTGATAAACTTAGCTTCATTCAGCCGTTTCTGCACGCGTTCTCGCGCCGCGAATGAGACGTCCACGTGATCAAGTGAATGGCTGCCAGCCGCCGTTGGCCGCTCGGACCCGGCCAGGTCGACTAGCGAAAACGTCGACATGTGGTTGTCCCGCGTGAGCGTGATCTTAAGCATCGTGTGGCTGCGAGACGACGTCAGGTTTCGTGCCGTGGACGCCAGCGACCGATTGAGCATGGCTACACCAATCAATCCATGCTACAAAGGTCGTCGTTGGCTGTGGTGGTGCCACGTCATGTAGTGAATGAACACACCGCTTCGTCCAACGATCCAATGTCGTACGATTGTAGCCCGTCGACATAAAACGCACGGCCGTCGGATGTTGGTCGCACGGGCAGCTCGAGGCTGCCGTAGTTTGTGGGGGGCACGAGTAGATCCTAACCTGACGTGCATGAACGAAGGCAGCAGTCATAAGCAACATACGTAGACGTTCTCCATGTAAATTTGAAGAAACGACACGGAAATGCGACATGCAGACGGGTCATGCTGAGTCGCGTTGAACAGATGCTCGAATACGCGAGGAATGATGCCGGCTTGCGATGGCGGGAGCGTTGGGTCTAGAAACCCCATGGTATACGTCTTGCCTGTGCCGGTCTGTCCGTATGCCATCACCGTGCCATCATGGCCTTGCAGCTGTCAAGCGAGCCATCATAAGTGCAGCACATGTAATAACATGGAAAGTCGTACAACGTGCTGGACGATGGGGAACACTGCGTCGTGGTACAGCTGCTCTTGCGACGCAGACGGTGGCCAGACGTAGTCAAACCCAAATGAACGCTGGCTGTAGTGTCGACCTGGGGCCACGTGGACGGCGTGGTCACCAAAATGCAACGCAGGAGCGAAGGTGGTGTCCCAATGGACTTCGTGGTCGAACGGAGGCCGGCACCGCAACCCCACTAAGATCCGCGCGGGAATATCCATCGCCATGAAATAACGTCGAAAAGTGAAACCGCCGTCAACACGTAAAAAGTATGACTAAATATGCACGTTTGGATTATTTGAAGTCGCCCCAATCTTCGTCGTCAGCTGCGGAGGTGAGCGTTGGGTCTGACGGGAGGTTGGACGCTGGCGGCGGTGCAATCTTGAAGGCCGACAGGTCCGCTGGAGGTGGGGTCGCGGCGGCGGAATCCGACCCTGCGACGACGACTTGCGCTTTCCCACCGATTTGGATCCGCATTTTGGCACCATCCGGGAGACTCAGGCCTTTCGGAGGACTGGTCTTTGATGCGCTGTGCTCGAGGGACAGGGTGCGCTGTGTATACTTTGCAAAGTCTTGAAGAGCCGCTTTGAAATTGAACGCTGCAGACCGTTCTGGCAGACCGATGCCAACAAAGGCTTGTCGGCCGGACTTTGCATCGACCACTCGAAGGACAAAATACCGCGACGAGTCGACACAATCTTGGACAAACGCACTCAAGGGGCGCGTTGCGTCGATTTCCACAGGGCACTGGGCGAATAACGTTTGGTTCGCTTCGTACAGGTTGACGAAACAATTGTCGTTGATCTGGGCGACACGCAGCGACCCCGTCATGAGGGGTTTCTCGACGTCCCATTGATCGGCGCGGGGGTCGCCAGTGAGCAGCGGCACCTTGTAGATCCAAACGTTCTTCTCATGGAACAGCGTCTGCTCCAACTCGACATCGGCCATCTCTGCGGAGGAATCGATGCCTGTAAAAATGGATATATCCTTGGAATGTGGCAATGGATAAGTCTTTGGAACTAATAATAATGTATCCATTCTAACAGGTTTTAGGATACCCTATTTCTTGTTGAAGTCGATGGAGTGTCGTACGATACACATGACGAAGGACTGCACCACGACCGGCGAAGTTGAGCCCCATACGCCCAACAACATGGGATACAAGGTGCGGAGCTTCTGCTATCTTAGTCCCCTCAAGACAAGTACACGTAGATGAGTGATCAGGCCATCGCATCGGTTGGTGATTTGCTGGAGAAGGATAAGCACGACTCGAGTCTCCAGCGGTACAAGGCGAATCTGCTTGGCACCGCGGCCCAAGGGGACTTGGGTGGTAATGTGTCGTACTTCATCCATAGTGTTAGTACTCATTCGCGCATGGGATATCGTTGTAGACATACACGAGTGTCGGCGTGTTGTTGTCAAGCAGTTCAAGGTAAGGAAGGAATTGGTGGTTGGATTCTCAATAGAATGGGCAGGTAGTATTTGAAGACAACAGGCACGATATCACGTATGATCTGGACTCGGAGGAAGGCATTCAACACCTCCGTGACACGCCATTCGTCATGGAAGAAGGGGCGAAGTACAAATTTGCCGTGTTTTTCAGAGTGAACCGAGAGATTGTGAGTGGGTTGCGCTTCCGCAACAAGGTCCGGAGACACGTCTTCTCGGTGAGCGAGGAAGTGGTGCTCGGTTCGTACGCCCCTCAGTCAACCACGCATGAGTTCTTGTTTCCGCGACACGAATGGGCAGAAGCACCGTCCGGCCTCATGTACCGTGGGACCTACCAGGCCGAATGCAAGGTGCGTCGTGACCCCCATTGAGCTGTGGGAGCTGACATGAACATGTAGTTCATCGACTCGGACAACGTTGAACACCTTCGGTTCCCATATTCATTTGGTACGTGTCGTCGGAAGCCATCATGGCAGGTTCTTACTGTGCCGCGTAGTTATCAAAAAGGCGTGAACTTGGGAACACAGATAATATTATCCTGTTTGCTTTAAATAATATTCTATTTTAACTTAAATTTACTATGTCGGGTGGATGATTGAATCGAGGTACTTTGCCGGCAATACAATGGGTCAACTCCTCGTGGTACTTTGCCGGCAAATTGTAACTGCCTATACAGAACAGCCATTTTTCAATTTGCACCCTTCCGACGCGCGCGATGGCTGACAAGAACGTACTAGAAGAAAGGACAAGAGAAGGTCCGCCGCGGTAAGCAGTCCTCAACACCTCCAGAATGAGCATGCCACTTCAGCTTACATGTGGCGTCATGGGTTACAGTAGGACGTTCCACACAAGCACATGGATTCCGTACAAAGACAACGTCTCCCATCTTGGCTATGTTGTCCACGCTGTGGACCAAGAGATATACACGAACCCACACCTTTTCAACGATCCGGTACCCCTCCTTGAAAGCGGGTATCGGCTATTTCGTTCCCCCGTGCGACAGCAATACCGTACAAACCGATCCAAGTCGCTTCCTGCGATCAAGTCGTCAATTTTGCACCATACCTTTGGGAGAGTGAACATCCACCTTCAGTTGGAAGGAAATTTTCACCCTCAACGAGGTGATGGGCTGCAGTGTGACAACGCCGCAACCAACTTGGATACCAGTCGTCAAATACGTCGATCGCCAGGACAATCACGTGGGAAGTTCAACGTCCCTCCGGACGGCTCACGGCAGCTCGTTCAAGCCGTATCCTATCTCACCACCGACAAATTGAGCTGCCCAGAAACGTACCGAACTCAAGCTCGACTTCATCATGGCTACATGAGCGAGCTGTTTAAAAGTCACGAGCTGAGCTACTGGATGGACATGCATCTCTTGCAAGCGAACTCGTATTCCCAAGCTATTCAACCTCAAAGCCCGCTCAACGAATTCGTGCCTACCACCTATTTCAACCAAATCGTCCATTCGTCGAACTACAACAAAGCGGTGAACTGGCAACTATCGACGACACCATCGCGAGGTTTCCATGGTGGCCATTCGAAGTCCGTCAAAGTTTTGGAGCGCACATCCAGCCAACCCAAGACATTTGCTGAAGCTGTGTCAGCGGACCGCTCCCCATCAAAGCCAGAAGATATTTCTGCGCACCTAATGCAATATTGTTTCGCACATCGTGCCGCTCTAATCAAATGTGCATTAGGGACGGAGGGGGTCGTCCATCGAAAAGGCGCCCAAGAAACTATCGCAAGAAGCAACGAAAAATGCGAAACAAAATCGACGAGGCTGAATCAAATCCAGCGAGTCATGACAGTACACTGTCACTCGACGATTCTGTCCTGCATCAGTGCGACAACTCGGCCGCGTCGCTGGACATGACAGCTTCACCTTTGATGGACCAACACAGTAAAGCCGAGACCATCGCCACTGTGACTGAGCTATCGTCGTTCAAGAAATATCGACGCCGTGGTAATCCCCGCCCTCGACAGGCCACACATGGCAGGGAAGTCCACGGCGCGCATTTCGATAATACTACCGTGCTGCCCAATGCGGCCTAGTCGGGAGTGCGTCACACAATTGCATTCTGTTTGTATCCATGCGTGTGTGAAGTTGATAACTTTAAAGTCTGTTATCCAGCGCATTTACTTCAGAAATCAAGGGGGTCCAACAAAAAGACTGCGTGTGAGGGCTTGGACTGTGTGCGATGGAAGCGACGGGACGTGCAGTTGAGCTTGGAGAATGTCTTGGGCGACCCTAGCCACCAGTTGCGGAATCAATATGGTCAACGCATAGTGAGTTACATACCGTTGCAATTGCTGTTGCGCGAATCGGTACAGTGCCTTTCCTTCCACCCTGCCGGCGAATGCAAGATGCTCAGGCGACACGCACCATTCTTCACGACACAAAGAAAGCCACAGATTATCGTTGTTTGATAGAGCGTGCAATGCTCGACAGGACGATCCAGCGGTCACGAGCGAAGTCCCGTCGAGGAAACTCAAAATCCCGAGGATGCATTGGTCGTTGATGGCTCCAAAGAGGTGCAGGTTCGGTGTCAAGTAGGCTGGATTAACATAGTAGTAGCTCCTAAGCGGCGCGTCATAGCTCACGGGGCTGCGATACACCACCATCGCTTGAGAGGACACTTCATCGGCGTCGCGCATTCGCAAGATTTGAAATATTCTAGAATGCACGTTCAAAAAATCAGTTTCTAGAACTACTATAGTAGTACTACTATTAGTACTACGATACATGTTAGTATTATTATACTTTGTACTCCGAGTATTAATACTATTAATATTATTGTGCTTTGCACTTGTTTTGGCGTCGGTTTTAGGCCCTGGTCGGGGAACTACCCTGAACGAACCCTGAACAAATTTACCCTGAACGACTTAAATTTGATTGGTTGATTTATCCGAAATCCGGTTGCATTCTGGGTTGACTTCGTTCAGGGTTGACAATTTCAACCCGAGACTCGGAGTCTCGGGTTGCGCGGCAACCCCGAAT